GAATATAAATATCTATGAAAAGCAATAACAAATAATTTAGATACAGCAGTAAATTGTAAGTTATACATCATTTAAAAAAAGAGAACGACTTACATAGATCTGAATGATATCTTTACTTCGCTCGCGTATAGAACGTAAGGTTCTAGATAGTGAGTGCAATGACCGTGTCTGCATATAGTTAATTGACACTACCGGATTTGTACGTAATATTCCACCACAAATCGTTCGTCGTTGATTGTTCTGTGCGTTTGACTTCATGGCCATCACAACAATAACTTGTAAAAGAACTGAAAAATTCAAAATTAGAGAATAAACTTAAACAGCATTAAAAATCAGATTTTTAATTTGAATATTGAGTAAATGCTATTACATTATGTGCACATATATAAGACATTGTACTAGGTTTAGTAATAGTCAAATAATAGTAATAAAGTATTTTCAAATATGATCGTTTTTAACCATCTGTTATAAAACATATCAGCATATATTACCGTCTAGGAAATCTTTGACTATGATATTTTATTATAGGAATTAGAGAAAATGAGGTCCGCTTAATTTTTATAAGAAACGACTTATTACATATCACCCGTTTGATACAGAACACATTTCTTTCATTACATTATCATTTGCGCTATTAGAAGAATACGTTTTAGATTATGTAATATGAGCAATTTTTTAGTTAAGACAAAATCATCAAGAAATTATGACCGATGTTGTTTATAAATGTAACACAGTTTCATCAAAATTTATCTTACTGTATAAAATCTTCATGTCTCTTATCTTGTAAATAAATTAAGTAAAAAAGTAAATATAATGATAAATATCTTATATTTTTGCTTTAAGTAAATAAATTGATTGATATTTAATAATAAGCCTAGCTTATATACCTTCTATGTATGGTTTTTCAGCATTCTCACTCTACAAGAAATATTGTGGATTTCCACCTGGGTTAGGCATTTTCGGATTCTTTTTAATTTCATATCACAAATTACATTTTCCAAACAGGAAGGAACATTTTTCATTTTCCACATAGTTCAACTGTCCATTTCGCAAATAAACAAGATTATTTAGTTTAGGCACACTTATAACAAAGTTAACACTTGTTACAAAAAAACCGACAGTTTTGAATGACATACCCTAGGACCTTAATAAGTAAACATCAATGGATTAATTAAACTCTTATTATCAAAGGTCTTTTGAAAGGCGTACCGTACCACTGTCACCATTTGTCCTAAACTGACAGCATAAAGGTTCGATAAAATCAAATAAGATTTAATAGGTTGATAGTTGAATTCCTCAAACCTTTCGTGTTTAGCAAAATATTCTTAGTCAGCTAATGATGTCAATCAAAATTTTGGATATCAGTATTTTCACGAATACGTCATGGGCCTTAGTTTGACCGTCTGTTATTTGAAGACTTTAGGAAGACTGTTTTCATTCCTTGGTCGGTCTTACTTTCTTTCTCAAAACCGAGCATGTTACACCGACAGAACGGGTAAATACATATTAAAACCGAGCATGTTACAACGAAAGATTGGGCAAAATGTTTATTTAAGCCGAACGTTTAAAACGTAAAAAGAGGCAATATGTTGATTAAAACCGAGCACATTAAAACGGAAGAAGAGACAATGTGAGCATATTACAACGAAAGAACAAACAAGATGAAAAATTAAGACCGATAATGCTTTAACGGAATAAGGGGCAATATGTAAATGAGAGATGTAAATTAAAACTTAACTTATTACAACGTAAGGAGAAGGGGGAGCAAGACGTTAATTAAAACTGTATTTGATATAAATAGCATTGTCAAAGCAGGATCGAATTGAATCATAAAAAAAGAAATCTGCAATAAATTAAGATTGCAGACAGTTTAGATCAAGTCTGTTCACTCATACAATAAGTGACATTAAGTACCAGCTGAAGATATTTGCATGAAATCATTTACTTATCTTATCTTACGCATACATTTGTGTTTTAATTATGAATTGTTCAAAAATTATCAAAATAATAAATTTAACTTTTGAATTGAAGCTATGTTATGACTTTTGCATATCTGCTTCATATGTGTACTCATCACTTTGCATATCTATCGAAATTCATATGCCGGAAGTTAATCAACATGAAAGTATTACTGACAAATGAATATATTTAAAGAATTACACATGCTAGTATCTCACCAGAAAAGATCCACGAAACGAGTCGAATTTACTATCATTTTGATATTTGACGTGTGTATTCATTTGTCAACTCTAATGACTTTAATGAATACATTTTGAATTGGATTTTACAATGAAGGTTCCCAATATGATTTAAGTTAAGAACATAATTTTGATAATTACGCTAAATTGGGGCCATAGTTATTTTGATTCAAATGACAACAAAGAAGTTCATAGATGTCATATAATTGTCGCAAATCGAAACTTTATTTTATGACTTGGCAATATTAATATAGTGGATATTCAGATTATTTTCGATTACAAATCACTTTTCAATATTTGCAACATTTGGAAATGTGAGTTTTTTGTGTTATTTTCGCGTAGTCGTAGTGACACGTTTTAACAATAATGATGATGTTTTTGTGAGTAGTGCAATTTTTTACATTTTACAAAGGCAAAGAAGGAAAATTTAAACTTGTACAAAATTTTTTGTAGGATTAAAAAATCGTAATTGAAACAAATTGATGAAAAAATGGGGTAGATACTCCTTGTTTGTAGGTCGTTTTACCCACATTCATTAATGACGTACACATACGTCATGGCATTCTAACAGTTTGCCTTTAGTATAATTCTAATATCTTTTGTGTCTTAATAAAAACTATTAACAGAGTAAAAGAAGCTTCCAGATAAAAAGAAAGCCATGTCTCAATTATTGTTTATAAGTGTTACATCGGATGATATTAAATTTCGAACTGTTGAATACTGCCTAAAGAAACATTATGGTCAGTTGGGTTTCGTCAAATACATATTTCAAAAGATAAACTATTTTGATGGAGATTGATCAATAATTGATAAATTGATAAATAGAAATGATAAGGAATAAGTTTATAAAAACTGCCTAAAATACAAGAGACTGTCATTTTTATCAACTGGACGTAACCGATACATTCTGAAGGATATTTATAGAAATTCCCATGTGTCATATGGGTTATTGGATATTCATTAAAAGTAGAATATGGAGTCGGAAACGATTGTGGCAAAATGTAAACTTCTTTTTACTTCTACCTGCACACTCAACATTTACGCTTTGATGGACATAACGTGATTTTAAGCCGGTGTAATTACCACTACTGTCCCCGAAAAGGCTCAATAAAACCAAGTCTGGTACATTTTCAATTTTGCCGTTTTAGGCGTTCTTAAGAAATTAAATTTTATCCTATTAGATTTTATTGTCACATCCGTGCTGTTAGTGTCATTTAGAGTCCATTAATGTCGCCCATACATTCAATAAAAGATGTTATATTTTTGAAGTGTCTTGAAGATCGTTCAGCACGACATTATTGTTGTGCTTGTGGTATTTTTAGTTTCAACTTTTCGGCATTTTCTAGTTGGGTGGTTCCAATATTCCTACTTGAATAATGTTGAATCACCCTTAGGATATGTTGCCTGCTTTTTAAATTTGTCTTTTGACGTCTTATCTGTGATATGCAGGCTTCATAACCTCTGATCCCCTTTCAAAATTCCATTTTAATTAGTTCCGCCCATTGTTTTCTCGTTTAGGGCACACGCTTTTTATTACTTGAGGACCATACGCCGCTTTTCATGGAATGGCACGGTAGTGTCACATTGAAGGTTCCATGATAACCGCCGTATGAACACATCTGCGGATGTTTCTAAATTCAAAATTTTACTATTTCATGTTTAAATGTTGAATTCTGCTTAAGCCGGTGCTAGGGGGCGTAGACGGTAACTTGCACTTTCCAGTACCGTCCATGAACAGGCTCAATCAAACCGAGCCTGCAACATTTTCAATTTTGTCGTGTTGGGCTTTCTTTAGGGATTCTATATTTATATATTTTTTGAATACTGTTAAAGCATGTGCTAGTGGCGTGGAAGATAGCCATTTTTGGCGTTCTTCAGAAATTCAATTTTACTCTATTTCATTGTCACATCTGTGATGTATTAAGTCCGTAAAAAGTCGCCCCTTGACCCGTTGTTTTCATGAGCAAGAAACTTTACACTCGTTGCTTAATACTGGCTGGTTCTAGAAACTGATTTAAGAGTGTTTCAATAAGCTTATAGCTATAGCTTCCAACACAATCGAAGTAAAATAAATTCGTATAAACTAATAAAAGATAATATATTTTCGAAATATTTAATACTATATAACCCGTTGATAGGGGGCGTGGACAGGAACAGGTTCAATTCAAAATGAGCCTGAAACATTTTCAATTTTGCCGTTTTGGAGTTCATAAGCGACTTTGTTTAAGTCTATTTTACAAAATATACCACCGGCATTTCAGTGAAAGATTCGTCGCTGATGTAAATACATAGAACGTCAGTGCCCATCATGGCTTTTAAACTTTGCCCATCATAGAATAACCAATATGTGATATTAGAGGGTTATTGCACTTTTTCGTGCATTTACAACTGCGTATGCACGGAAACACATTTAAGTCTATAAATATTCCGCCAAGACCTTCATGTATTATAGCCTGGCATTCGGTGTTGTTGGTTTTTTTTTTCAGACAAAACGTTAATGATCGATGCATTAAAATTTACACCAGCTGAGCTGTCTTTTAGGTGTACTGGGAGTGTGAATGGTTAGAGATAGATAGATACATTGAACGGGTGCAATTCTGTGCACTGTTCTGTACTGTATAAGTGTATATCTATATAAATATAAAAGGAATACATTCCGACGCTTGTGAATTGGCGTCAAATTCGTTTATTTTTAAACGTTTACTCAGGTACTGTATCGGTATATTGTAAAGTATCTTGATTAAATAAATGCGTTAATTGACGGCATATGCAATGGATATGACTAAAAGACCAAGTCTGGCATTTTTCGGGAAAATAAATTGATTTTCCCGGGCTTAATACTTCGTTCACCGGAAGCTGCAAAGTATTTAAAATGGCAGCCCTCTGTGATTTGGTGTCTGCAGGATTGATAGGTTACCAAATAACTTCTTTAATACATTATGATTTAAATAGTTACTTCGCAGTTAAATTGTAATTTAAATTCTTTACTGAAATCACTAAAAATGAAAATAAATACCTTTTTTATATTCGAGTAAAACAGTGACTTCCGGTATGTTTATACTCCCATTTTACAAGTTACATTTAATCGGATAGTCAATTTTCTGGATACTTAACGGATCAATGACAATAATTATACTAATTAATTAACTTAATTATCAAGAATTTTTTGTTTGTATGATAGATTCTTGCCAAAACAGTTCTGTAACAGACAGACACACGAAATTTATTCTTCATAACTTATTTTTTGTAAACCTGAAAAATCTTCTGCCATGATTTAAACCTAGACTTATTGATAATAAGGTGGACATTTAATCACATCGTAAAAGAGTAAACTCAAAGCAAGGCTGTTAAAACAGGCCTTTACCTATAAGCACTACAAATCTCTGGGGAATAACACCAATGATGTACATAACAGAATTACATATTTCTCTTTTTCTAGTATCATTTGTTTTGGAAAAGTTGTTATGGTTAGGTGGTTTCCTGCTTAAATTTGTTAACTGCATGATGGAACAGGAAACCAGTCCAGGTTTCCGCTGCAATCGTGACATCTGTCATACTGCGGAATCAGACGAAGTAATATTACGGAAATCTAAGCTATTTTTAGTTACTTCGGTAATCCCAGTTTGTTTCTATAAATAGGATTTCTATTTTAACTTGATTTATTGGTTTAAAGCGTAAGCAGAAGGAAGAAATAAATTATAAACGAAAATGATCCGTCTCAATTTGTTTTTAAGATGCAAAAGTTAGTTTCTTTTATGATTGATTTTTGTCTTTCTTAGTTTTATACAACAGAGATATTTTAGTTGTAACATAGTTGATACATGCATATTAATTGGTACCACGAAACAAAGTCTTTTAGTGCATTTACTTGACTATAAAGCTGCTATTTTAATGAAATTAGCAACTACCAAAACGAATGACTCTTTCTGCGAAAAAAAGTGGCACACTTGTTTCCCTTCAGTATGATAGATAGATACTTTTATTTCCTCCACGTGGGAGAGCCAATGTTAGAATTTTTACGATTGATTATTTTCTTTATTAGTTTTATATAAAAGAGAATAGATTTCAAATCGTTTTTGACAAAAAAATATTTGTTTTTACAAAAAAAGTTGTTACTGTTATCGTCAGCATGTTCTGGTTCAGTTATAATCAGTGGACTTCTGGTCCTTCTTTTGTCCAAATTTGCATGCATAACACTGGTGGCACAAATGGGCACAGGTGCTTATCCAGTTACCCTACCTACCCCTTTAAAAGTGGTTTTTTTTTTTCAAAAAAAAAAACAAACTTAATAAACCCTTTATTATATACAAATAATTAAAAAAATAGTAATAAATTGACCTCTCTATACCTGTAAAATCATAGGTACCTTGTTTTTTTCTGGTATATAAGGTCAATTTTTTTTTTTTTTTATATAATTTAAATTATTTCTTTATCATAAAGAGTTGATTTAGGAGTTTTTGGTTTTTTTTAATCATTTTTAAAGGGATTGGATGATGGCTCAACTGGGCAAGCCTTTCCTTTTAAAAGGAAACTTTATTTACCCTCAAATTAAAAAAAATACTTTGTTTGAAAATTATCAATATTCCTTTAATATCTATTGCAAATTTTTCAAAAAATAAATTGGTTTTAAACAATCTTAGTGGCATCTTCCACTATAAATAGAGATATTTTCTGCGTAACCTTGTGTATTTACTTTATTTTTGTATGGAATTATTCATACAATTATACAGTATTATTTTATTTTCTTACAAAGAAATAGCTGTTTTATTTAACTTTAATTGAAAAAAATATGAAGTTCATTATTACACTCTATTGTGTGCTGGAAAATGGCTTTTAGCTAGGTTTTCGAATTCATGAATTTGATTCGCAGATATTTTTATTACAGTCTGATGGAGTAAATGTCCGAAACGGCAAAAATATATGTTAAAATTAAATAAAACCCGAATTAATGGGAATTTTGCAACAGCATTTTTGATAATTTAAACTTTGTGGGCAAGGATATTTCAAGCTCAATGAATTTAGATTTGTCTTTCAGTTGTACGGACATTTTTCAGCGAACTGGTCAAATTTTTAGAACATATTCTGATCAAGTTGTACATTTCAAACAAATCTGATATAAATACGGTGTACGAGGTAAACATCCGGTTATAGTGTAGTAAACAGAGGAATGGTTAAAATTCTTTGTGAAATATCTGTAAAAGGGCCATTTGGGTAATTCCTTGTAGATCTACATCAATTTTCATTTTTAGCTCGACTATTCGATAAGAATATATAGAGCTATTGTAGTCACCCGAGCTTCGGTGTCGGCGTCGGCATAAACACTTATGTTAAAGTTTTTGTAATACCTCAAATATGTCCATTGACGTATGGCTTTGAAACTTTGCATACTTGTTCATCATCATGAACTTAACCTGTAGACAGAAGGAGGTAACTGTATCAAGCATTTTGACTGAATTATGCCCCTTTTTAGCTCGACTATTCGATAAGAATAAGTAGAGCTATTGTAGTCACCCGAGCGTCGGCGTCGGCGTAACCACTTATGTTAAAGTTTTTGTAATAGTTCAAATATTTTCAAAGTCCATAGACATATGGCTTTGAAACTTTGCACACTTGTTCACCATCATGACCCCAACCTGTAAACAGGAGGAGGTAACTGTATCAAGCATTTTTTTACTATCAAGCACTAAGAATAGTCGAGCGTTGCTGTCCTACCGACAGCTCTTGTTTGACTTAGAATTTACATTAAAGTTTTTGTAATATCTCAAATATTTTCAAAGTCCATTGACATATGGCTTTGAAACTTTGCACACTTGTTAACCATCATTAACCCAACCTGTAGACAGGAGGAGGTATTTCTATGAAGCATTTTGACAGAATAATGCCCCTCTTTCAACTTAGAATTTACATTTAAGTTTTTGTAACACCTCAAATATTTTCAAAGTCCATTGACATATGGCTTTGAAACTTTGCACACTTGTTAACCATCATTAACCCAACCTGTAGACAGGAGGAGGTAACTCTATGAAGCATTTTGACAGAATAATGCCCCTTTTTCAACTTAGAATTTACATTTAGGGTTTGCATACCACCTCAGATAATGTCATATTTTCATATTCTATTGACATCTGGATTTGAAACAAGTTGAAATTTTATACTCTTCTTTGAGATCATAATAGGACTATCGTCAAGGCCTATAACTGTAACATGGATTTAAAGAAAAATTTTGATTTTGCCCTTTTGTTCACTTAGAAAATTTTACATTATCAAGGCTCTTTACTATCAAGCACTAAGAATATTCGAGCGTTGCTGTCCTACCGACAGCTCTTATAAAGAAAAAAATTTACAATTTTGACATTTTTTTCACAATTGTCACAGTACTGGACCCATTCACAATTTAACGGAAAAAATCGCTGATACGATCTTTTGAAAAGGATGAAATAAATTGCTGTATTTTTGTGAACCACAACCTCTTTCTTCATTCAAATCACTGTTAACCTGGTATTTGACTAATTACAGAGAAGGATACAAATAATGATGTTCTGTGGACCTGGTCATATCCCATGGTAACTGAAGCACAAAGAGCCTTGTTCACAAGAAAATGTTGTCTTAGTCAAAGTAGTGAACACATTGTAGATTTTCTATATAGCCAGCTTGGGAGGCAATGGTATTATATATATACTCACAAAGTTGAAGACAGGGACAACTTGCCAAAGGTAATGAAATCAATGCTTAATCATAATAAGCTTTTCAGAAAGAACTCCATAATATATAAGGTCACAAAATTAAATCACCACTCACAGTTACTTAGTTTTTGTTTAATTTTTTTTTTTTGTAAATTAAGTCATAACCAGGTCCCGGGTGTAATTTTTATCACAATATAAAATTGCTAACTGAGTAACTCATTATGCTTTAGAAATTAGATAGTTTCTAGATATATTAGACTTCAACTCTGTTTTGAACTTTAAATTATTTTATTTTAGGTAACCGCATTTTCTGTTATTCTACTATCGAAAGACTTCAATCCAGAAAAGTATGAAGCCCTGTGCCAAATTCTGTGTCAGCGTTATTGTAAAACAGGATCTCCGACCTCTATACTAGAAGTCTATCTTGCTGTTGTTACTAAAGGAAAATGCAACAGTGAGGAAAATGGAAAATTTTCAACACAGGATTATCAGATAAAGCATGCCTATGCTAATTCCAACTTAGCAGGTTAGTTATTTTATAGTGAGATGGTCAACAAATGCACAATTTTCATGGTCTCATTACTTATTTTGTAGAGGCGGGCCGGGTGGTTAAGGTTGTTAACTTCAAACCACTTGCCCCTCACTGCTGTGGGTTCAAATCCGACAAGGTCTTTGGATTCTTTCATGTGAGGAAGCTATCCAGCTAGCTTACGGAATGTCGCTGGTTCTACTCTGGAGCCCGTTTGTGCCTGAAATAATACATGAAAGGGCACCTAAGTTCTTCCTCTACCAGTAAAGGTGGAACATTGCCATATGACCTATACTGTGTCAGTGTGATGTAAAACCCAATCAAACAAACTTATTGTGTACATGTAAAGGGGTTATTGATTATAATTACATGCATTATGATATTATGTCACAAGAACAATAAGTTCTTAGTGACCAGAATAGGATTCTAATGTTTAGTTATTAGTCTACATTGAATTTTTTACTTTTTATACAAAATATACATGTATTTTAGTTTGATTGTGTTGAAAGCTGTTGGCTTATAGACACACTATCCAATCCATTCTTTGAACCAACCAGTACTGAGCTATGAGTGAAAAGTTTATTGCTTAAGGAAACAAGGGCTTGCCCCTGACGGGGTTCGAACCCACACAGCCAGCCACCCTTATATTACTAGTCGACCACAATGCCACTTGGTTTTTGTTTCAATATGCCAATGTCACTTTATTGGAATTATTGATAATATTTTCTACTAAATTATGTAGAGTACTACTTCAACTAGACCTTGCATGTATCTAACAATAATGATTACGTTTTCTTGTCACAGCATATCAATTAAATGGATAAATCTGAAAAAAAATCAATATAAATGGTAATATAGGATGAAGAGACATGCATTTTTTAAACAAAAGTTCTTCAAATTGACAATTAGTGTTAGTAAGTGTTCTTAACTGTGTTATTTTGTATCCTTGACAGTCTTATTTAGTGTTCTTGACTGTGTTATGAAGTGTTCAACTTCTTGACTGAGTTATGAAGTGCTCTTGACTGTGTTTTTCAGTGTTCTTGACTGTCTTATTAAATGTTCTTATATGTGTTATTAGTGAAGTTTTCTTGATTCTTTTATTAAGTGTTCTTAACTGTGTAATTAAGTGTCCTTGACTGTGATATATATGAAGATTTCTTGACTTTGTTATGAAGTGTTTTTCACTGTGATATAAAAAATTCTTGATTCTTTTATGAAGTGTTCTTGACTGTGTAATTAGGTGTTATTGACTGTGTTATGAATTGCTCTTGACTGTGTAATTAAGTGTTTTTTTACTGTGTAATAAAGTGTTATTGACTGTGTAATTAAGTGTTGTTGACTGTGTTATGAAGTGTTCTTGACTTTGTAATTAAGTGTTTTTGACTGTGTTCTGAAGTGTTCTTGACTGTGTAACTAAGTGTTATTGACTGAAGTTGTTATGATTATTTCAGGTGTGATTGAGATGTTTGGTGTGGAGACTATACTGATATATACAGCATTGTTACTCAAGAAGAGAATTGCTGTATATTTCCCTCCCCATTCTATAAAAGACTTATTGCAGTTTACAAGGTAAGGACAGCAAGACAGTCATTTAAAATGTAAATAAGAGTAAGTTATCAGAAGAGATTAACATTGGATTATTATTAAAGGCTTATTTTACCTCAGAAAGAAATAATGTATTCCTTCTTTAGAAATGGTAGAAATGGCTTTAGAGATTGTTAAATGTTTATCACTTGAGGAAAGGAGCACAAAGCAGGCTTTTTTCACAGGTTGGGGAAGCAGCCCTACCCTTAATTTTGGGGGAAAATTTACACGGTATATTGGCAAAAGGGGAAGAATAAACTTTATGTAAATTCAATTTTGGGGGAAATTGCATGGTTTTAAACAATTTTTCTTTGGGGAAGCAGCCCTATAACGGCCCCTACTATAGAAGGGAAAAGGCCGTTAGAAGTGAAATTATTTGTTATAAAAGTAGCAACATTTGAAGAAAGTAGTATTTTGATGAAGACAGTAGTATTTTGATTTCCATACAAAATACTAAACCACTATAACTATACTAAATGCCAAAGGTAACAGAGGCTAAAGATGGTTCAGCTAATTGGCCAATTAGTAACTTTTTGGCGACTATAACAGGACACCAAAAATAAAAAAGTTTTGAGAAATGAAAATAGAAGTATTTCTTATGCATAATGGGTCGTTAAATTATTTTTATTGTTAAAAAGTAAATGTTTTCTTTGACATAATTTGAGACAAAATACAATAATTTTGGTATATCTCTATAATATTAATAAACATTTGATGAAGCCACTCTTCACAAATAAAATAATAGTTAATAAAGTGAATGTCAAATTTGGTCAGAATTTCAAAATTTTCGAGAAAAAAACAACAACAAAAAAAACCCACAGAATATATGTTTTATATGATATATGTTTTAAGATCATTACCAGCATTTATATGGCACCGTCAGAATTGGAACATTGTTCATCCGTATGTGGAGCTGATAGAGGAGGAGATAGATCAGCTGAAGACAAATACACATTATGTTGCTGGATTCACAGATGCTACTATAGAGTCCAGGTATACACTTGATGGTTTAATTTTTGAGAGATTTATCACTAAATTTGCTAATTTAGGAAGTAAAATAGAGTCCCGATTTAGACTCAGTGGTTTGATTTTGGAAAGATTTATTACTAAATTTGCTGATTTAGGAAGTAAAATAGAGTTCAGGTATAGACTCAGTGGTTTGATTTTGGAAAGATTTATTACTAAATTTGCTGATTTAGGAAGTAAAATAGAGTTCAGGTATAGACTCAGTGGTTTGATTTTGGAAAGATTTATTACTAAATTTGCTGATTTAGGAAGTAAAATAGAGTTCAGGTATAGACTCAGTGGTTTGATTTTGGAAAGATTTATTACTAAATCACTAATTTGGGAAGTAAAAAAGCTGGTGCAAGTTCAAATATTTTGGGAAAACTGCGTGATTTTGAAGAAAATTTCCCAGCGAGAAGAGACCTTTCATATAAAGTTAAAAATCACAGAGACTTTTAAACTTAAGATAATTTACAGTGATAAAGGTCTATGGCTTTTAATTTATACTTACCACTAGTTCTGTAGGATTGAATTTTGACAGAGATAAGTATTTGTTTTTAATAAAAAGAGGCTAATAAATGTCTTGTTCTTCATGTTACCAAAGTTTTTAAGATAAGAAAAAGGTATGGTCTAAGGGAGACAACCTTAGATTGATAAAGAAGTCATTTTAATCTTCTGATGTACCAAGATTTCAAATTTTAATTGCAATTGGCTGTATTCCAGGAATTGGTGATTACTGAAGCGACCTTGATATTGATGTAAAATCATATTGTTTCATACAATGTATTTATGTAATTTCATTATTTATGTTCATAATTTTTTTTCCTTATGTGATAAAATTTTAAACTTCATACATGTATTTCACTTTTCCAATGTGAAAATATTCATATTTCACTTTCCATATTAGACAGCTTATGAAATGTCATATTTCACTTTCCCTATGCTACAGTATTCATATTTCACTTTCCCTATGAGATAGCTTATGAAATGTCATATTTCACTTTACATATGCAACATTATTCATGTTTCACATTCACTTTATGATGGTATCTGAAATGTCATATAATGATATTTCACTTTGACAATATGACAGTTTGGATAATTATATATCTCACTTTATGGAAGTGACAATATAAGACATTGAGTAAATAATTTTCCTTGTGGGACGATACTGAAAATATTATATTTTACAAATCCTTAACAAATAAATTTGATATTAAAGAATAAACAGAAAATAATGAAGTAATTGTATGTTAAGGAAAGTAATGTTACACAACTGAAATTGAGTGTTAAAATGTTGAATGATGTTAAACTTGATATAAATATTCTTTGGAAGTTCAGACATTAAGATATAAACTGATATTTCAGGAGTGATCTGTATGACGTGTTTGTCAATGGTACCGCAGGACAAATCAGCGTAGCTCCTCATGCTAAAGGTATTCATACTTTATGTCATAATCACAAATCTATTTTTAGCATCATCACTTACAGTATTTTGGAAAATCGATCATTTCAATGGTTTCTGTGAGCTATTCAACTTTTGTTAGTTTTTATGGTACTAAGTTTAGTAAAGCAATGTGAAATTATCGTAAATCAGCTTAAAATTGAGTTTTTTACATTATTTGAATAAAAATCCTGGTAATGATTTTAAATGCTTGTTATTAGCTCACCAGAACCAAAGGTTCAGGGTGAGCTATTAGTATCAAAGGGGGATGCTCTGGCATCCGTCGTCATGCGTCAACAGTCGTCTTCTTCTCTGAAACTGCACGACAGATTTACTTCAAATTTGGTCTGTAGCATCCTTATGACAGCCACACTTGAATTTGCTCATGTCATTTCAATTGCTCCTTTTTAGGGGTCAACAGAGGCTGAGAGCTAAAAATAGAAAAAAATCTTAAACATCTACTACAGAACTAATGGATGGATGATCACCAAACTTTGTCTGTAGCATTCTTGGGTAGTGTTTTATCAATTTTGCTCATATTAAACTGATTGGCCCCTTTTAGGGGTCTCTATGGCTAAAAATAGAAAAACCTTTAAACATCTTCTACAGAACTAATTGATAGATGATCACGAAACTTTGTCTGTAGCATTCTTAGGTACTCTTTATCAAGTGTGCTCATATGAATTTGATTAGCCCGCTAAAGCTAAAAATACCTTTAAATGTCTATTTCTACAGAACTAATTGATGGATGATCACCAAACTTTGTCTGTAGCATTCTTGGGTTTTTTGCTTATTTTAATTTGATTGGCCCCTTTTAGGGCCGCTAAAGCTTAAAATAGAAATACCTTTAAACGTCTATTTCTACAGAACTAATTGATTGATGATCACCAAACTTTGTCTGTAGCATTCTTAGGTACTCTTTATCAAGTTTGCTCATACTAATTTGATTAGCCCCTTTTAGGGGCCACTAAAGCCAAAAATAGAAATACCTTTGAACATCATTTTCTCCTGAAATAATTGAAAGATGATCACCAAACTTTGTCTGTAGCATTCTTAGGTACTCTTTATCAAGTTTGCTCATATTAATTTGATTGGCCCCATTTAAGCTAAAGCTTAAATGCCCCAGGTCATGGCATTTCTTCAAATTATTGTTTAAACATATTCTATGCTCAAATTTAATATTAGAAAATATTGACAATGGATAATTTCCAACACTGAAAAGCAGTTGTTTCTGGTGAGCAACTCAGGGCCATCATGGCCCTCTTGTTAATATTCACTGTTTGTATAATATGACAATGTTAGCTCATTGACAGAGGCCAAATGGATATATTAATTTCCGATTTTTAGACATCCTTAATCATTTGTAATTATTATCACATTTTGATATGAAAAAGATATAAAATAGGGAAAAAGAGTAGGAAATAGAAAATATTCAATTTGTGTTTTAATATTAAGCTTGTTTTACTAAGTTTATTGTGAATGTTTTCAGATGCTCTTGCAATGGGAAAATTACATAAAGACATAGCCATGTTTATGGTGAAATTGATCGAAGACACAGATATAAATCAACAGCAAGTTATTAAGGTATAGAAATTATGTCAGTTTTTTTGATGCCATTTAAGTAAATCAAATAAAAGAAAAAAACTTTCAAAAAAACTTGTGTCAAGATATCCATTTCTTGAATGGTGATTCATAGAAATTATAATAAAATGTGATTTGGAAATCCTACAAATTAGGTTTAATTGTTTTAAGCGCATAAAACTCCCTTGTATATCGAAAACAATCTTCTGCAGCATTTTATTCGAACATTTATAAGTCTATTTAATGTATTTAGCATGGTTTTTGGTTTATTAATCAAAATGATGACTAAGATTTTTGATGAGATATATTTTAAATTGGCTGGTTTTCAGGATGTGGCCACTAAAACCAAAGAATTATTGAACAATTTGAAATCACTAGCTGGAGAAGATGGCACTATAGCGCTGGAAAGTTTAAAGGAGAGAAAAATGCCACCAGCAACTGAAAACTTCTTGTTTAATCTCGCTGCCTGCGAGGGACTCGTTCAGATGTGATTACATTCCATTAATGAAAATTCTTATGTATTTACTATGCATTAATGCTATTTTTTTAAAAAGAACAATATTTGATTCATTTCTAAAAAGCAAAATTCTATATTTGATTCAGTTATTGACTGATTTTTTTAATGTAATTGATCAAAAATGACATTTTTTTTACAATTCTTGAGAAAAGATATTCTACTGTTTAGTCCACTAGTGACACAAAAGCTCTGAATAAGTGTGACTTCCTTTTCCAGTGTTGACAATGTTAATAAAATAAAACAACATTTGTATAATTACTATAAAAAAGAGTGTGGCTGCATGACCAAGTGGTTAACACGTCAGGATAGTAATATAAGGATTGCTGGCTGTGTGCGTTTAAACCCCGTCAGGGGCAAGCTGTTGTTTCCTTGAGCAAGAAACTTTACATTCACTGCTTAGTACTGGTTAGTTTTAGGAACGGATTTAGAGTGTTTCAATAAGCTTATAGCTTTCAATATACTGTAATTAAACTGAAATAAATTTGTATAAGGTAAAAAGAGAACTTAATCTTGTTATATGTTTTATTGCAATTATTATGTATTCTGCTGTTGATTTAGTGCAATATTGTTATATCATGACATTCCTTGTAATGTAATGACTATATTATAATGTATAATAAATTATTTATAATTCAATTTTAGTATGTCTATTGTTTACCATTTTACATTGTAAAAAAAACACCCAAGGGCAACTTTTTTAGCCCGCCGAGAGTGAAAATTATTGTTCAAAGGAAAAAACCAGTTGCTCACAACACCTTAGAGTTCAACATTTGTGACAAGTAATTTGGTAATCATAAATTTTGGCTATGTAACATGAACAAGCAAAAGAAAGCACTCATTTTTCACCATTGACCCTTAAGAATAACCTTGGGAGTTACATTTCTGGTTGTTGCTGGCAACACTCTTTCTCATCTAGTTTTGACATATTTACCAGGTAGTTTGAGAATTTATAGATCTATTGTTATTTTATAGCCCAGACATAATCAGACAGACACACCAAACCAAAATTGTGTCATCCTATTGTTTCAGTCAATAAAAGTTGTTTACCTCGCCACACTACATGACTACAAGAATAAGTTTTGGTTTCAACCCAACTTTTCATCATTAAGGCTGTCAATACGCATACCAAAAGTTTAAAGCAAAGAAATGATGGAGAGCATTCACAAGGTTGCTGGTTCATTCCCTGTAGGGGTTATACCTAAAGCAAATTTATTTTTGCCCTTTCTTGAATGCCAGTACTTGTTGAAAGATATTGCTTTACAGTTCTGACACAATCTGAGTATTTGCTTTGGTGTGGTTTATAATTGTCTCATGCCAGCTTTACTGATGGAGGAAGACCTCTGGCATTATTATTTCAGGCACTGGAGGGCAACTGAGTTAAACCATTGACCTTACACAAGCTAGGATTCAAACCTACAGCAATGAGGAGCAAAGAATTTGAAGTTAGCAATCATAACCACTCTACAACAGGGGTCTAGTTTAAATCAATGTCAAGATATACAGGACATAGAAAAAAATAAAGATTTATACAGATGAAGCAAAACATTTTAATACTGAGCAACTTTTAAACACTAATACAAATAAATATAGTCAAAACAATGAGAAATCATTATAAATTATGCACATATAAAGAAGCACTTCTAATAACAACATATACGGAAAAAAAAACATTTCATCTTTCTTGAACTTGTACATTAAAAAAAGTTAACTTTGAACAAGTTATTTATAGTAAATAAATAGCATTAATAATTTATTGTATAGAATCAATTAACTAAAATTCTATAAAATATTAGAAGAAAAAGAAAATAATTTATGATTACATTCAAAGTATTTTCTGTATTTGTGATAAAAATACAATACATATTTTGTGATATTTCAAGCCACTTTTAACAATTCATACTATGAGCTTTGAATGGAAGAAAATGGGAAGCATTAAAATGGCCTGGTGGTAATTTAAACTATGACATCAACAGAAAAGAGCACTGCATGCAGTCTTGACACTTGTCTGTTAAAAATTTCAAATTAAAAAGGGGCATGACTTCAAAAATAGTGTTTCCATAATAATTTAATCATGCCCCTTGTCTTACAACTGCATCTTGTCACGATAAGCAACTATTCTGAAGTTTCATGTTGACAACTTTTTAAAAGGGTTTGGAGTTTTTTTTGCACAATGACGCTTGTTCTGTAATTATTAATTACGGTAATGTGTTTCTGAAAAATAATCACAAAAAGATACAAGTTTATAAATTTGGTGGACACATCTATATAATGGCTGATCAGTTAGTTGTCTGATTATTTGATCCTAATCCAATTGAATTTATATTATCATAACTGGTATGACACCAGCACTGTCTTAGAAGCTTATTTCCTAAGCTAAAACATGTACCTTGCTACTTAATCTATTTATAATAAATGTTTGAATGGAGAAAAACATAAGTTCGTCCCATGTCCTAAAAGGTACAGTGTATTCACTTAAATTCGTGAGCATGAAATGTTGTGGATTTGTCAAAAAAGATGTTTTTGTGTATTCTTAAATTTGTGGATTGTGGAAAAAAGTAATGCTAATAACATAATAAAAGTTATTGTACAGCAGATGAAATAAGATTTTGTTGATTCTAAAATTCGTCGATTGACCTATCCACGAAAACCATGAAAATTTGTGCCATAATAATGATTATGCAGTATGTATACTATACATATATTTGTTGTTGTTAAAATTTACCCAGCTTTGAGATCATATAGAGAAGATCAAATTCATAAAATATGCAAATTATACAATACAATACATAATACAATTTAAATAATTTCATTCAAATGGATGGAATCTTTTTTTCAATATCACAGCAAAATATATATCTATGGAATGTATAATCCTGAACTGGTACCATTTAAAGCTAGAGTACAATACAATATAAATATGGCATTATATAAACCCACAAGAATGTTAACTATCAGTTAACAATTTGGTGCATTTATCTCCACCTTGGTTATTAATGATTTTATGATGAATATACAGTGAATCGCATGAAAAGTTGGACATACAAACAACAAGATATTTGGTAACTAACAGACTGAACACATGTAACAGAACAATAAAAGCTGGTCTTAAAACATTTATAATTATGACAATGTTTACTTCAATGTTAATGTAAATTAACCTTGTAATTATGTAATTTTCTGTAAATGTTTGGTTAATTTTACAAAATTTCTTGATCTTTTAACAGCATTTTGTAAACTGCATTATAATCACTTATTTTATTTTGAGATTGCTACTATTAATTTGCAGATCTATATGGGATATTTCCCATGTTAATGTAAATTATTCCTTATTTGAGCAGATCTATAGAGGGATTATTCCATTCATCCTACTTAATTTCACATCTTATTTTGAAAATCATTTCATCAATAAGTGAATAACTATGTGGGATATTTCCTAAAATATTTTTAGATCACATTCCTCCATTAAAGGCAGATCAATGTTGGGTTAATATCATGTCATTTCAGATCAAAATTTGAAACTACTGCCTGATACTGTAGTACAATATAGGTATTATTGCCATCATATTAAAACATAGAAATAGCAAAAGGATTATTCCAACTTTACTGCTTCATTTTGTATGACTACCACATATTAAATCTGTGACGAAAAAAGTAAAATTACTTCCACCATCAAATGGTTCACAACCTGAATTAATATGCACTGGTCATAACTGAAGATAATACTTTGAATATTTTCTTCTTCCCCACCTCCACTCTCAGGAATATATATGTAAAAGAATTATACATGTATTTTAATTGTTCAACTAAACAAATCTCTATAGCTTTCAATCATTTCCTCCACTTTTTTGTTGTATTCAGTGACAGCAGCATTCTGTTGAGCTAGGTAATCATTGACAAACTCCTCCAAACCTGTAAAATACTTGGTTAAAGATTGTAATACTTAGTATTGTATACACAGTCAATATATATTAGAAAGAATGTCAGCCAATAAAAATGTGAGAAATTATGAAAGTAGTGTTATGCCTATTCTAGACCTCTAACTCTGGTCACTGCTGAAACATGCATGTTGCCAAGAAAGGGGCCCAGCAGGTAAAAGTCATGTAATTTCCTGATGAAACATGCATGTTGCCAAGAAAGGAGCCCAGCAGGTAAAAGTCATGTAATTTCCTGCTGAAACATGCATGTTGCCAAGAAAGGAGCCCAGTAGGTAAAAGTCATGTAATTTCCTGATGAAACAAGCATGTTGCCAAGAAAGGAGCCCAGCATGTAAAAGTCATGTATTTTCCTGCTGAAACATGCATGTTGCCAAGAAAAGAGCCCAGTAGGTGAAAGTCATGTAATTTCCTGCTGAAACATGCATGTTGCCAAGAAAGAGGCCCAGCAGGTGAAACATGCATGTTGCCAAGAAAGGGGCCCAGTAGGTGAAAGTCATGTAATTTCCTGCTGAAACATGCATGTTGCCAAGAAAGGGGCCCAGCAGGTAAAAGTCATGTAATTTCCTGCTGAAACATGCATGTTGCCAAGAAAGGAGCCCAGCATGTGAAAGTCATGTAATTTCCTGCTGAAACATGCATGTTGCCAAGAAAGGGGCCCAGCAGGTGAAAGTCATGTAATTTTAAGTGCCACAAATGATAGATTGTCCTATTGCGAGTTAAACTTTAATTGGTTGGTCTGATAGAGAATTGCGTTGTTGAAAGAAATGCCTTAAATGCATGTGTTATCTACTAACGAACAAAATATAATACTATGGCAAGCAAATGACGGCACAAACTATGGTTTAATCAGCACAGATACTCGGACTGGCCTCAGCTGCCTGTATAAATAAACTAAATGAAAATAAATAGACCTCAAATTATCATGATTAGGTAAGTAAAGGATACTTGGGTGTTGATCTTGTTTTGAGCCATCAAAGCTGACATACTGGGTACCATTATAGAACCAACCTTCCGGAAGTGGGTCCAGATGATGTTCCTTCTGCAAAAACAATAAAATTATTATTTATAGCCTTGACATTAATGAGATTTATTTTTTCAATGCAGTTATAGAAATATCTGAACCTGATAGCTTCGGCATGTAAAATTTTAGCCAGTGGGTTTATGTTTGAAAGTAGTAATTCAGTAGAAAGCTTTGTTAGAGCTATGGGTCTTAGACAGCAATCAACAAGAATGACATCAAGGACATGTTTGAAGTATGACATAAACTCTTTCAGAGGCTGTATAATTTTAGCAAACCAGGACTTCTATGTTCAAAAAGAGTTATAATTCAGTCAAAATATAGGATATAGTTATTGATCTTTGACAATGACCTAAAATTGATGATTTTAATATATGCATAACCATGATGTTTCACATGGGTTTTTTTCAGTTACTTATGATTATGAAATTATATGCTAAATCTTAATCATGTACCAACACTGACATCAGGGTAGGATAGCTCTACTTTTCTTCTGACCATTATGACAAAATTGAAAAAAATAAAACATCTGCATTACAATATTCTTATCCATGGTAGTTTTCTTTAATTCAATTCAATATTTTATTTAGCATATGAACATATTTACAATAATCTTTATCCACATTTATAACATGTAATTAGTTTTCATTAACAGTTAAAACTTACATGTATTTTGTTTTTCACATCACTAGTAATATCTTTCCTTGACATCAAATTTTTCTTTTCAGGTTTCTGAAAAAGCATAAATTTATAAGTGAATTATACTGGTCTGTGTAAGTGACAAAATCAGTTCTAAATACATATCTATTGAGCCTAATTTTTAAACTTGAAGCTTCTGTGCCTTTTATTTATGAGATTTCAATATCAAATTCTAAAACTGAAAAGGCACCCACAAAACTGCCACATTTCTTAATGATAGATGGCATCCTCAAATCCACAAATCATTACATTAAATTAAATCATTAAGTTATGAGAGACAACTAACCTTTAAAATATTTCTATATCTTTAGATACCTTTCATAATTATACAAGTCCTTTCAAGTTATGTTTATGCAAGCTTTGCATTTTCAGAGTGTTCCTAACAATATAATAATTGTGAATTATTGTTAACAAACCTTTGGTGCACACTCTCTCAACCAGTCCTTTAGTTTTGCCAGAGTCAGATCAGAGCCTGTGAACACCATAAAGTTTCCTGGATTTTGAGCCCTATCTTTGGTGGTTTCATTATATGGTCTTATAGATAAAACTCCACTCATTGTTGTGTAGTGAATTTCCATGCTTTCCTCTGACTTGGCACCTAAATTATTCATACATATTACAGTAACCCTTTACTTGCTGATACTGAAAGTGATTAGCCTTTGCCATCAGTATAGTGCCAGGATATCTTGTACATCTGTACATTCTGACCAGGCTCTATACTGTCAGGACTTCATTTTGAGATTGTAACCCTTTATACTTCAAATTAACTGTTCCAATTTCTTAAATTTGGTTGGGAGTATGTCACACCAACATTTCACTTCTCCACATAAATCTTTCTGAACATCACAGGGGAGTAAACAGCATTAAATACATTGTCACCAGTACAAATTATCATGAAATAATTTTCCTACTTTATCAAAATTGATGATTGCTATTAGTGGGGCGGGAAATTGAGAAAATAGTGCAAATTGTGATACAAGCATGAAACTTTCAGGAAATCATCTTTAGACCATGTAGATTTCAAAAGTGAAGTGGGCCCCAAAATATCTCTGCTCATTCAAGATGGCCGCCATTTTCAAAATGGCCGCCATATAAATTTGAGTACATTCTAGCTCATTCATTATTAGGGGCCTCCGTGGCCGAGTGGTTAAAGTCATTGACTTGAGATCACAGGTCCCTCACCACTGTAGGTTCGATCCTCACTCGGGTCGAAATCTTTCATGTGAGGAAGCCATCCAGCTGGCTTACGGAAGGTCGGTGGTTCTACCCAGGTGCCCGCTCGTGCCTGAAATAATGCCCGGAGGGGCACCTGGGGTCTTCCTCCACCAATAAAGCTGGAAAAAAATCGACGAAAAATCTCGGCGGGACGCTCTAGGATGACCCGACTTGAGTGTACGGTCGCCCATATGGGCTTTCCGGCGGCGACCTTAAATAAACGCAATTAAAAAAAAAAAAAAAAACTCATTCATTACAATTTTTTGTACAGACCTTTAACTCACACCAAAAGCATGCATATAATTTCTCCTTTTCAAAAATTTAAATCTCACAAAATTTCTCTTTCATACTTCTTCCAAATCCAAGATGGCGTCCAATATGGCCGTCGATTTTGTGCAAAACTGTTATATCATTTTTATAGTATAATTTGTTGCACAAATTATGTTTATTATGATAAAAAAAGTGTTTAAACATATCAGAGATAATCAAATTATATGTTAATCTCAATAAAAGTAAACATTTTAAAAGTTTTTGTCTAAAAATATCTTTAAAAAAGATCAAGAAAAAATTCCATTTTTTTCATATTTTTCAAATTTGATTTTCTAAAGTAATGTACAAAGTTAAAAAAGTTACTTTATATCTTAAACTGTATTTGACATTCCATTAATATCATGTGTTTATTGTAAAGAATGTAAGAAAAGCATTAAATCTGTAGGTTTTATATTTTGTGAAAGTGGGTGGGGTAATTTTATATGATAATTGTGAAAGAAAAAACAACAGAAAATCTACATAGCTAAGTTCATTCTATTTCTTTGCCTTTTTACTTTTCTATGAATTCTTATGCAAATGTTCCAACTTAAAAAGTACTTTTTATTGGATGAAAGTATTTTTGTCTTCCTTCGGGCCATTTGGTGGGTGAGCAAGAAATGCACATACAAACATGTGTATACATTCAGTTATTAAATTTGGTTGCATGATAATTCTTGTTTCAATATATTTGATATCATATATTAATTGTTAATCGTAAAGACATATAAGAAGACAATAAATCAACTAAACGTGCTTAAAGCTACATTAAATAAATATGTAGAAATATTTTTGCTGTCGGCCTAAAAACCAAGCATTCTACAGTTTCAGTAACCTTTTTAACAGTATCGTTGTAAATCTTATCAAAGATTGTTCATAAATAGGGATTTTAATTGGAAAACCCCACGGTAACACTAAAGTTCGTATACGAATTTTAACATGCAAACGAGGACTATAATCAGCTCGTGTATGCGCTACGTCACGGTGTTATAGTAGCTATCTGAAACACAGCAAATATAAGACACACTTTAACCGTTTAAGCTTCACGGTGCACAAGGCCTGGGGTTCAGAAAAATAATCATCTCATGAAAAAGATTAAATTTGTATGAAAACATCCGTTACAATGCGGAAATATACCGTTAAATAAGGACTGCTACTTATAGTCATGTTTGTTGATTTAATATTGATGTACGGATGATCCGAAGGCGGAGTTTATCATGCAAACAGAAATTGTACTTCCGTATTCGCCACAATGAGGTTGCACATTTGTATGCTCATTAAACTCATTTTGGTTGTCTGGACACCAAAATAAGGTCTGGAGTCGATATGAAACCCAATTTATTAATGAAATGTCGCTTTTTCTTTTTTTATTAAATATATTTAATGTAACTTTAAAATAGCAAACATGTACTTGAATGTAAGGTATAAAGGTAGTCCATAAACGCATATTTTTGACTCCACCACAATTTTATATTTATAATATAAACATGGCTTAAAAGCCAACAAAATGTATGTGATGTGAAACATATATATCAATGATATGGACTGGCCTGCATGCAACTTTTTGAAAAGTTAAGATACAAACTAAGTGTACTAGCATTTCCTAAAGTAATCATATCTTATTTTTTTCTTTCAATAAGAGGGTAATGATGACCCTGGATCACTCACCTAAGATCATTGTTGGAAAAAAGGTAACAAGATCATTTTGGGAGTGTCAATTATGTCATTACACACATGATTTGTGTCATAATTGAATCTGGTTGCTTTTACAGAAACATGCTCAATATCTGCTTTCAATTTTTTTATTTCACGCGAGAGAACTTTAATAACCATATCTATATACGAGTCCATATAACTTAGTGACCTTTTGTGTTTGGTAAATTTGGACCATGTTGTCCATGACATATCATTATTATAACATAATTATGATGATACATGATTACTGTATATGCGTCGGATAGTGTAGGTTAAGAGAAAACAGATTTATTACAGTAGTCTTTGTAAATTAAGTGATACCATTGCAAAACCATTTTAGACTGCAGTAGCATCATACAAATCTATGCATGTTATATCAGTCTACATCCCAAATATCTTATTTCAAGTCAATGAAGTTTAACATTAGATGTTTTTAATGTGTTTTCCTATACAAGTCTGTGAACTCAGATGGCTCTATGAGCATAATTCATTAAATGTGTTAATAAAGACCCAAGGTGTTGCTACATGCCAGCTTAGTACCTGTGCTCTATGCATTTTGATTTTTGAGAAGATTTTTTTATTGCATGTACACTTAATGATACAAAAGTGTTTTATGTAACTTTTAAAGAGGTCTTCTTTACTTGGCAAGGTTATATTTTGGTGCCGGCCTTGTATTTGGGCTACGGCCATGAGACTTGGTGTGTGTCTAGGACTTCCTCTACACTTTCCAACAGTCCAAATTGCAAGCGAATCGGACCTACGGTTCGAACACAGTGGCAATTGAAAAAAAATACTTTTACAGTGAATACTTGCATAAAAAACTTACAATTGTCTGATAAATTTACCCCACACACTTTTAATAAGTATAAAACCTTCACATTGTTGTTTGTTTTGTTACAATTATACAATAAAACATAGTGTTGATTGAATGTCAAATACACTTTAAGAAACTATGTAACTTTTGGAATTTTGTACATAGACCTAGAAAACCATGTAAGAGAAAAATGAAAAAAATGGCACTTTTTCTTTGATTTTTTTAAAGATTTTTTTTGTACAAAAAACTAAAAACATGACTAACAATGTGGTTAACCAAAAATTTGATTTTTTTTCTAATATATTTCACAAGTTTATATGGAATTACGCATACCGTGTGCAAAAAATTATACTACAAAAGAGATATATCAGTTTTCATTAAAATTGGCAGCCATATTGGACGCCATTTTGGATTCTGAAGAAATATACAAGAGAAATTGCTTAAAGATTTAAATTTTTGAAAAGGGGAAACTATATGCATGCTTTGGTGTAAGTTTCAGGTCTGTACAAAAAATTTGAATGAATGATCTATTATGTACATCAAATTTAAATGGCGGCCATCTTGAAAATGGCGGCCATCTTGAATGAGCAGAGATATTTTTGGGCCCACTATTTTTTGAAATCTAAATGGTCTAAAGATAATTTCCTGAAAGTTTCATGCTTGTATCACAATTTGCACTATTTTGACAGCAGAGACCTTATTTCCCGCCCCACTATATATGCCTGCATACATGACAAACCTTGCTTGTTTTAGGAGTGAAATTTATTTTACATGATAGAGTGCAGAACTGTCCTCTTATGTTGATGTTATTTCAAATGAAATCATGAAAAAAATTTAGTACAGATCTAATACTTGCCAAACACTTGTGTGTAAAAAACAAAGAAAAAATATTCCTTCAATTGGCATTTACCTGTAAATCTGACTTTTCCTTGGACATTGTAAATGTTGCCAGAAAATGGAAATGATGCTAGAGTTTTCTTCATGCCTGAAACAGATAATGTTAATTTGAAGATTGTGAAATTTGCATGGGCGTGAGATAAAACCACAAATGCATAACTGTTCAATAGAGTATCTAATAGAGTATCTTAGGTTTTCAAACTAGATAAAACAGTGATAAGGTAAACGGGTATTTACTACAAGTTTGTAACAGTATGCCAGTCCTATTTTGACAAGTAGTTCTGGAATTGGGTAACTTATTTTAAACAAAATTACTGCAAACTTTCCAATCTGAATCAACTGATTCATGGGTTGATGCTGACTGGTGTGAAATCAACTATATTCCATTTAATTGTCACAGAAAAATGTGTCCCATTCTAAACTAAAATCATTCACTGATCTAACAAAACAGATAAAACAAAGGTATTCATATGTAAATCTTTATATTTTTGAAGTAACATGATAAGACAGTACAATATACCGGTATCTATAAATTCTAGCACTTGTTATTATTAAGTGAACAAAGAGTTCTAAAACTAAATTGTTTAAATTCTAGCCCATTTTTTTTGCTTATTCACTGAGACAAAAAAGAATCCTCTTTGCAAAATGTGCAATTTATGCCACTTGGTTACTGTGACTTCATGCAAGGTGAAAGCATTCTTTCAAAGCTATTACATCTATTTCATAATTCACAAGTACTTAAACAAATACCTCTTAATTTTGCAACCAGTTTATATCTATCAAGTGGCAGGGTAAACTTGAGTTGCACAGTACTCAAGAGCTGTCTAAGCGGTCTGGTTGAACTTTGCCTCCAGGCTGGACATAGCAGGTATCGTGCACGAACCTTCTCTATCTGGCGGAAACTGTCTTCACTCAGTATTGCATCCAAGTCCATACTCCTGCAATTACAACATTTTCATTTCACAATTGCTTTTAAAATATACGTCACCGGGACTTCCCCAGGATTATGTTAGTTGAATCATTGGTTTTATTTTAGAGGTTACATGCATGGCAAAATACAGCCTTTTTCAGTCCAAAATAAGCAACAGGTCCTTATACAATATCAATATAAAACATCTAGTTAGGTCTAATTAGCAATTTTAAGTTGCAGATACAGGGAATCAAGCTTGTAGCCTCTGCATTTATAGCTACCTTTTTTCAACTTTCTAAAGTGACATTATGCTCATGCAAGTGAACAGGTAAAAGTATTAATCATTTGACATTTTGCAGTTAAGCTAAACGTTTACAGAATAACAATCTTGAAGTAAAATGTTGTTCTTTTGTGTAATCAACCTACCTAGAAACATTACCCTGTTCTGCTAGCAGGAAGGCAACATCACTGTTTACAGATCTTAACATATGCTGTACCTCATTTAAATCATCATTCTGTAAATATCAAGACAGTAATAGTGAAAGGCATTAATTTTTGAAACAAATTGTGACAAAATTTTGAAACAAATTGTTGGAACAAAATGTCACTTATGTGACAAACTGTTGGAACAAATTGTAACTAAATGTTGAAATAAATAACACCTCTGTGTGCACTAGTGGTTCCTTTGGCAAGACTAACCAGACACCTGTCTAGTAGACTCTTATGCTATTGGCAGCTCACTGTAACAATTACACAAGCTCAATATATTAAATAGACTTGTTAATATTTCAATGTGGACTAAGCCATTCATCATTTTTAGGGAAAATTTCAAAAGATGTAGTGACTGAAAGAGAACACTGCAGACTGTAATCAGACACCATAGATGCCATATATCTCAAGTTCATGTCCTGTCTACTGTTTTCTCTTTTATAGCATAAAATGCAGCACAATTTTATTTTACATTCTAAAGCACAGCAACATAAAGTTTTGCTAGCACATTTTTCTACAAGTTCAGCTTGTATTCCAACACACTGTCTTACTTCATATTACATTTTTGACTAATTAGATAAGGAATTTTATAAATATAGGAATGAATACTAATTTGTTGCCATGGACACTGTAATTGATTGGAAGCATTTCTTATATCATACAGGTCATGATAACTTGTTTTACCTTTAGAGCTGTTGAAGAAGTCATCACAATTTGATTCACCCAACCCTGTGCACATGCATTCAACAAGTATGGAAATGTCATCCTGAAAAAATAATCATTTTAATATAATGTAAAGTAAATGAAAAACATGATGGATTTTTTAAAGCAGTAAATGATTAAATACTTAAAGATAATAATTTACATTATGAGAACTCTTGGAAACAGTTCATATCAGAAAATGAAGTCACAAAAATTAAAGTTCAAAGCTCAAATTAATGAGGGGAAAGAAAATGTTCATAAGAAAAAGAAAGCAATAAGCACAGCTTATAGAAAATTCTAGAATGTTAAAAGGAAAGCATAGAAGACAATTTTGTTTGAATTCAAAATCTCATGAAAACTGTTTGAAATAGCTCTGAGCAGCTTTAACAATCTATTTTTGGTAATAAGTAACAAATAAATTAATTTTGATTTAACATGATACAGTAAACTTCATTTATAGGGAACACGGTTATAGCGAACTTCCGGTTATAAGGAACATTTTATTTTTTTATCGAATTTTGCCCTTCTTTATTTAATATAAAAATATACGGTTTTGGCGAACACGGTTATAAGGAATTATCGCTTATAAGGAACTCATTTCTTAGTCCCAATTTAGTTAAAATTGCAGAAAATTACACTTTTATAACAAACTCCTAAATATCGGCTATTCGTAAATATATTCCGCATTTTCAACTTTCGTTTTCATTGGCACGGCGGAATGTACCATTTATTGTTGTATGTACTTCAATACATCTATGAAAATGAATTTGTATAGCGGTATGTAAATGTTTTCTATTTCGGATATTTTTAGCATGAGTTATTGTCACCAAGATAAAACGGTTATTCCTTTTATTGTATTATTTCTTTTCTTTAATAGGTTTGCTCGAGTAGAATAATTATGATCATTTATAATCGGTTTTCAACATAATCATGCATGCTTGCAAACATAATCCATTAAAAACTACAAAGTACCCTCGATTGAAATGAAAAAAAAAACCTACATCTTTCATTAGTAAAAGTCACCCTTAGAATATAATAGAAGATATTCAATATAAAAGGAAGAAAAAATCGAAAATCTTGTTAATTCTTTATCATGGAAAGAAAACGAAAAGCACCGAGTTTAAAAACAAAAGATGATATTTAATGAGAAATTGAGAAAGGGAGTAAAACTAAAACTGAAATAGCAAAGTATTTTCAAATTCCTTAAAGTATGCTTTCTCTGGGGTATTGTGTCTAAAAAAGAAATAAATGACCATTTTTTCTTTATCAAATGCTCTTCAAAATGGCGGACGATGGTAAACAATCAGTTCGTTATTTGTAAATCTGTTCGCTATAAAAACTCCTGATACAAGGAACTAATTCGCTATATGCTTACACGGAACTCCGGATATAAGGAACATAGCGGAGTTTACTGTAAATAAATAAGAGCAGATCAACTGCTTGTGAAACTCATTATAAAATTAAGATTTAAAACCTTAACTTGTATACAATGAGATTATTAGTCTCTGCCTCCAGTATAGAGTCAGGCCAGTGTACATATCAGTGCAGTATGACCTGAGACTCAATTCTATTTCAAATTCAAAGCTGAGCAAATTCATTATACAATTTCTGGATTAAAAGGTCCAGATTTGTGAGATAACGATGTATGATTTTACGTAAAACTTCAAAATTGGATTAATACAAAACATTACCTCAATCTAAATATAATTGAAAAATTGAGACATGACTTACTTATGCTCCATATAAACATTTAATGGATCAACACAAGCTGTCACAGAACCTGTCAAATATAAATAAAAGACAAACATATGTAAATTTTCTTATTATTCCCAGGTATGTATTAACCCTCATTACTGAAATGCAATCAGTAAGTTCAGCATGTCATTCATAATTTTCTTTCCATTAAAAATAAACATTGAAATGTTAATTACATTGGATTTACTTAACTTTTCTAGCTTAACCTGTAGCCAGCTGAATTTCTTAAATGGACTTGTCCAGCTTCCATTTTTGGACCAGTCCATGATCAATTTGGAGATATCAAGATGAAAACTTGAAGTTGGTCAGCCAGCTTAATAATGCATGATAAGATTGCCTAGATGTGTAGGTTGGTCTAGATCTATATGGAAAATAAATAATCCCTAAAGAATGTCTAAAATGAAATAATTGAAGATTGAAGGCTCTCCTTGACTGAGCCTGACTATGGACAGTATTGGAAAGGGCAAGCTACCATCCACCCCCAACCCCTAGCACCTTTCTTATTATCTTGTTCTACATCAACTTAATTAAACTAATTGACCTTAAGGCAGAACCACCAGGCTTGGCCAATTAATTTAAGAATCTAGCAAAATTCAAACCCATAGCATCAACAAACAAATAATTTGAAGTTTAAGGCTTTGATAACAGATAGGCCCACAAATCTACAGTATTAATATAATCACTTACCTATAACACAATGCCTCCTCACATCAACATCAGGGTGACATTCTACTGCTTGAACAACACTTACTACATCTGTATACCTTTAAATTTAAAATTCATTAGTTAGTTTATATAAAAAAAATCATAGCAATTTCAAAGGATAATCCTTCACAATTATTCTTCAAAGACCGTATTCCTACAAATATATTTTTTCATAAATGTAATACAGATTTCTTTTGTGAAACTTAAATGTAAGCCAATCAAGTTATTAGACGGAGAAAATGATCTAAAGAAAAGAAAGGTTGTAAAAGCAAAAATTAACATGTCACAGTCAATCTGATTCTAAGACGATCTATTGAATTTGAAAGTGTTCATAAAATTTCTCAGTATAAATTCCACTAACCTACATCATAAAATAAGTGTTGAAAACCAATTCAAAACGTATGACATTTTGCATCTGTCAAAAGTATATGAACTTTCAAGTGTCTTTTAATTCATGTAGACATGATTATGGTCATATAATATATATTTTCAGCACATAACATTATACATTCAGAACACAACTGCCCTTCCACCAGTGCTTCACAAACTTGCGTAGAAAAATCTTAACTTCCATAAAATAACTTGATTAAACTATTATTTTCTAAAAAGGACACTGTTGTCAAAGGTTCACAAATATGACCAGCCAAATTAGGACTTGAACCTCAGATATTTAATGGCACAATCATACTTCTTTATAGCTTAGAAATATTCAATGTATTTCAGGACATATTACCCTGGTACAATATATAACACCCTGGTGTTTAACATATGTGACTGACTTTGTTTTCTCCTTCTATGTACATTCAGTGTAGCTTTCAATTTGGCTTGTATATCTACTGGGTTAAATTGTTGTGATCCATCCAGAGGTGGCTTTAGTATCACATATCTGTAAACAAACAATAAATGTATACTTTCAATTTAGCCATCATTCTTATGGAACTGTTTTAGATAAGACAGAACATTATAAATGGCATATTGTCACCTGAGTGCAATAACAGGCTATATAATTATAAAATGAGATTATTAAAACCTGTTACTGCACTAAGGTGATAATATGGTGTAGGGAAAGAAGAGTTCAGTTGCCTCTCTAACATTATTTCATGAACAGTTTGAAAGTTTAGTAGAATAAAAAAGTTTGAAAGTTTTGTAGAATAAGTTTTTTCACAAGGTTACAATGTAGGGGAAAAGCTTTGCCACATGAAATATTCAAAGTGCAACTCGGAATCAAACCCACACTAGTAATAGGCAAGACAGTGGCAACAACCTCAACAACTTTGCTACAGAGGTCTAAGTACATAAAATTGTTACAGACCTTGTATAAATAGCTATTTTCTTTATAACCCTAACCCAGTGTCTCAGGTTATATAAACAGTTCTTTGCTATATAACCCTCACCCAACATCTCAAGTTCTTGTTTATATATTGGGTCATACAACCTGTGAAAGAGTTTTGTATTACTTATACTACATACATATACAGACCACTAAATATTTTACCTATTTTGGTCCTTAGAAAGTTTAGAGAGAACATCACACATTTCTCCCTGGTGTGATCCTGGTATACCACTGATAATAGATACAACAATCTGAAATAAAACAATACCATAAAATATACATACACAATTTAATGTACCGTTTGTTGAAATAATTATTATACTCTGAAATCTGTATTCCATATTTTAAATAAGTCATAAAAAAAAAATCAATCCAAGCATTATGAGACATAAATTGTGAATGATTAATATTTCAAAAGTAAAGTACTATAATATGCTGCCAGTCAGTTGCTAGAATTTTATTTTAACAGCTAAAGATTGTCATATAAATTTTTCAAGGTTTCTTACTTCAAAATGGAAAACCAGACTAGAAATACATATATATAACATTAGATAATTTTAAAATGTTAACAAAATTAACCAATCAGATGGTATTTGTCTCCAAACTTCTACCATGTCAAAATTAAATTTTGGTTTTTCCCCAAAACTGGATTTAAAGTCTTCAAGCATTCTGCTTTCAGGTTTACCTGGCTCAGTAATTATGAACTAATGAATCTTGTCAACTCCTAAACAGCACTATTCTCTAGTTTAACATAAGTCAGTTATAACTATTTTGAATTTTAAGTCAAACTGATGCTGTTAAAACCTTATATGGCCATATAGATTTAGGCCATATAATACCATGAAGATTTAGGCCATATATGACCATAAAGATTTAGGCCATATATGACCATATAGATTTAGGCCATATATGACCATATAGATTTATCAATTAAGAATGATGACAGATGCATCTTTTAGCAATATTTCAAGCACAAGTAGTTTCTGGAGTACAACCACAGATTTTCTTATGCCTGCTATCTGGACAGTTTCCTTGCACGAAAAAAATTCAACAAATCTAGCAAGATTGATTGAAATTTAATATATACCTCAATTTCTGGTTCCTCTTCTATTTCAGCATTATTTGATAATCTAAGTACTTTATGTAAATCTGTTTCTGGTACTGGATACCAGCCTACACTGCTAGCTGAGAAATGGTCTAAAAATCTACAAAGTAAAATAAAAATGTCTTTTAAAAATTTGCTGTATTACAAACAATGTCACATCACCAAAGTAACTTCTTCGGAAATTAATTTTATGTAAAAATAAGATCCTTTATCCATATTTTTTTTTGCAAAAATGTATAATTGTATATTCATCAATGTCATAATTTTGTTCTTCCATTTAAATTTCATTTTGTTTTGCGTAATACACACCAGAATAATAATACAAAACACACTTCAATAATAACCTAAGCAGAAAATTTTGATACAAAAAATGATTTTATTATTAATTCAAGTTTGCTTGCACTCCTTTGTGGTTTGACCACACTATACTTTTGGCTCCTAAGTTTTTGAGTATTTTTTTTTTCTCAGATCAAAATTTCTTAGAATAACAAAGAACAGATCCTAATACGATCTAACGTAATTTCATTATATCAAATAACATTTCAGAGAACACATACTTGAATAAATGGGGTAGAGAGATGGATGCCTTCTGAAGACCTGTTTTTACTCTACTGGATGATGTGGATGTATACTGGTGCTGAATCAATGTATGCCTGTTAAACAATACATGGTTATATAATTCATAATTATAACAATACATGGTTATATAATCTATAATTAAAACAATGCATGGTTATATAGTCCATAAAAAATCACTAAAATGCATGATTATATAATCCATAAAGAAATCACTAAAATGCATGGTTATATAATTCATAGAGAAATCACTAAAATGCATGGTTATATAATTCATAGAGAAATCACTAAAATGCATGGTTATATAATTTATAAAGAAATCACTAAAACTACTTATTGCTAAAGGGTAAGTACCCAAGTAACAGATAATCTGACCTGAACCATACAAATATATTTTCTTGCATATTCAACCATGTTTTATGTTTCAGTTATATTATAAGTAATAAAGATTTTTTGATATGTTATATGGTCTTATATAAACAGTTATTTGTATATACAAACAACCATTTATATATGGCCATATAATCTGTCAGAAATCTTTATAACAAATTTATAATACAGCAATTTTCTCTTTTTTTAAGGAAAAAGTGTGATGACTTCATTGTCAGCAGCCATGTATATAAAAACTATATAAATGTCAAAATTATCCTATGAAAAGCTGAACAGTTGAAAAGATTCAAACATTCAGTATTAATATAAACCTGTATATACTTACATAAGTTGACAATTTTCAGGAAGTTCTTTAACTACTTTTACTTTAGGGGAATCTGCATCCTCCCTCCATGTATGTAGAACCTGTCAATAAAGATTATATAATAGTACATTATAATTATAATCACTTATCAACATTTTTTTTAAAATTTCTTAGTCTCAATGGTAATGGTGGCTGTATGTAACCCTTATTCGCATAACCTCCTGAACTTGTGTAATGGATTTGCCCTGCTTTGAATTTGGAATATTGCATACAAAGTTAAAGGGGTTTCAATACAGAAACACAGAAATTGAGTTACCAACAAAATAGAGCTTACTAAAACTGCACATATCTTCAGGCTGCATACTGGCCTGGCCATATACTGATGGCAATGACTAATCACTTTCAATTCAATCAGTGTAAGGGTTAAACTTGACATAAAGTGAAAATTCTTCCAGATGGTAAAAAAAAACTGTTACTGTTCACCATACACTGTGGAAAATATGTGACATGTTTACAGGCAATCTAATGTTAATATCTCTACATCATGAAACATCAATACATAATAAAACATGTACCAGTATTTCTTATGTCTAATCAATTTTATATATTCATGAACATATTGTTCTTTACATTCAAACTTATCGTTTAAATCTACCTTGTCACATATATTTCACAAATAACCCAGCATTTATCACTTTTGCAACATACAATGTATGTAACATATGTTGCAAAATGTATTGTTGTTCAAATTCAATTCTATAACATGACAGTTTGCTATCAGATTTGTGAATGGGAGAACTATAACCAACACTGACACAAAAACTATCATGAACGTTTAGAAACACTTGAATATTTATTGCATTTGTAAGTGCCATTATTTAATTTTTTTTAGATCAAACAAATGACTGTGTATACAGATAGATTAACTGACAGACAAATCAACAGACAGTAAATGTTAATCCATTTTACTTGAGCCTACAATTTATGTTCGGCTGGAATTATTACCAAAAGTGTATATCTTTACAAAGTATGTTAATCAAACATCTATGTGCCTCCTTCTTATGTTAATTTAAGGCTAGACTTTCACCTGGCTAGAATTGACATGACACCTTTACAATGCAAGATATCTTAATAACTATTCCTTCAAAAGAAGGTGTTTGTCTGTAAATCCAAGATTAACAGGCACAACCATCTTCCTCATATAGCAGTTATACTTCTAAGAAGTTGACATTATTTCTATAATGTTTAGACTTAGACTAGCATTCAGGTATATTGCGTATACGTTTATGCCCTTAAGCATAGGGTTTCTACACTTTAAACAAAACCTTAACATATTAGAATAAATGAAAGTGAGAAATAAAAATATTCATTAATACCTGTGAGTAAAGATGTTTGTATGCTTTTGATTTTGGTGTGAACATCAGCATTAACTGACCCTCATCATTTCTCAGATGGAATGGAATAAATGGTACAAATGTTGAATGGTATTCTATAACTAATACAGCCACTGTGTTGGATGTGTCCTGAAAGAGCAAAAGAAAAATGATAGGTTTATTTCAAATTTTTAAGTCACTGTTTTCATCAGTTTAAGGAAATGTCTTCTATGAATAAGAAGACAAATATGTTAGTTTAAGGACATGTCTTCCATATATTAGAAGTCAAATATGTTATCACATACTTTTAAAAAAAAGATTAAAAAGTTCATTTACTCTACCAAATACATCTTTACTTTCCTCTTCATTAAGCTGACTGGATTTTAAGACAAATTAATTCATTTGGCAGGATTCTACCCTTACACCTTCTTTACCTGCTGAATTTCTTAAATGGACTTGTTCATTGTTCATTTCTTATTCTAGGTACTGTCCATTATCAAATTTGGGGATATCAAGATGAAGGTTGAAATCAGATTGCCAATAGTGTAGAGTTTGACTACATGAAAGTAAAGGTTGGCTTGGATCTATACTAGTGGCAAAGGCTGATCACTTTCAGTTCAAATTAGGTTAGAGTTAAATAGTGAGGGGCAATAGTTAAATTGATGACAACATGGGTTTTCCTTCTGATGTTTACGATTTGTGTTAAAATGAGTGGGAGAGGACATTCATAAGCTTTATAGCTTTCTGCCAAATCTCAAAATGTATTTTGTAAATATTGTTCACATGCTAAATGTTATGTTGAATAAACATGTTTAAACCAATGAGTGGGTCATGTCTGGAAGACAGTTTATAAATACAGACCAAGGTTAAGGTTATTTTTATAGAACAATTATTATGTGAATACATACACCATCATAGAATCTTGCAGATCTTATGTGATTCCCATGTAGTACTATGGCACCATACTGATCACAAACTATCACCAACCCATTCTCGAATGCATACAAACAGGCTGAAAAAGAAATAAAAGACATTTATTAAATTTTGTCCTTGTTGTTTCACTAATGTTTTGTGGCTAATGTCAGTCTTTCATGATGAAGATTAATAATTATTTTGGATCAAGGTTGACACCTGAGTTGTATCATCTACCTTTTACAAGCTAGCTGGATAGCTTCTTTGAAAGGCACATGATACCTCAGAAACAAATAAATTTTCACTTCTGAAGAAAAGGCAAATATGAAATTTATAATGTTAAAATACAGTTATGGTTTAAGATAATGTTATATGTTCGTTACCTGAAGAAAGCAATAAATGTGAAATAATTTGTCATAAAAGTAGTAAAATGTTATTTTTAGTTATTTTTAGTATTTTGACTTCCATCAAAAACACTTATTCACTATAACTGTACTTAATGCCAAAACATAACTTATGAATAAGATGGTTTAGGTAATTGGACAATGAGTAACTTTTTGGATACTATAAAAGTACACCAAAATTTAAAAGCTTTTGAGAAATAAAAACTAGAAGCATTTCCAGGGCATAATGGGCCTAAAAAAAAGCACTATTAAATGAAAACCCTAAAATCAACAATAAATCATTCTAAATTCAAAACAAGACTGGTCTATATCATCAATTTTGCTGGGTAAAAGTTATATCAAGAACTATTTAAAGAACATACCTTCTTCTGGGGGCATACATAAGGTACTTGCACACCCTACATTGATTGGATCTCCAGACAACAATAAAGCACCAAAGTGCTCTGAGAGGCTTTTATTCTCTAACTTTCCCTGGAACAATTTTTTGTCCTCCAACAAATTGGTATGCTGAAATATAAACGCACATAACATTAATTTATTGTAGTAGGCATGAAAACATACAGGTTCTGAAACAGTTGTACTGGGATTATCTCCATTTAGTGTAGCAGGTATCCAAAATCTTTTATTATTGGGAAATACATTTTGACAAAATGAAAACATGATTAAATTTTTATGGAGATTTTTCATGGTCGAGTGGTTAATGTTGCTGACTTCAAATAACTAGCACCTAGCTGCATTGGATTTGATTCCCACCAGGATGGTCTCTTTCATATGAGGAAGGTATCCAACTAGCTTATGGAAGGGTCATTGAATTTACGTATGGGCCTGTTTGTAAAAAGAGTAACTGAGGTCAGCCTATGACTTGTCTGTAATAATGTTGCTTAAAAAGATAAATGGTGAGAAAAATTACTAAAGGGAAACAACCTACAATGTAAGGGCAATGAAAACTGACATGGTAATATACAAGTATCAACTGATTTCTTATGTTATATACTGAGTAACTGTACCTTCACTGCTTTATCATTATCAATATAAGACATCAAAATATTCTTAACTTTTGTCAAAATGATATAGTTTTTTTATATTTCTCTTTTATTTTTTTTGAGCTGATCATTTTAAATAAAGAAAGTTACTCACTGTCCAGCAATGGTGTCTGGGGATGTGATCTGTCAGGAGGAGATAACTACTGTTCATACCAACACTACCATCTAAAACATACAACAATATACTCACTGATCTCCCATTCTCTTCATGACATTTAACTTGCTGATTTTTTAAAAACAATCTTGTCAAGCTTTCATATCTGATACTCTCCATTATCAAAAATAAATGAAGTTACTATAAAAAACAGTATGATGTGACCTAACCTATTGTAGGACAAACCAGTAGCTACATGTTTCAATGAACACAATTTGGGAAGCAATAAAGTATGGAACATATACTACAAAATACTACAATCAAAACAGTGCTTGAAAAAAACCTTAAATAAAATGCCAAATAAAATTTTCCCTTAAATAAACTTAAAGACCTTATTATGCAATATGTTTCATCTATGTATTGACACTTTAACTTTAGAATGAATATATCATTGCCTAGATTCAGACTGTGCACTTAAAGACTGCCAATCGGGACAAAATCATACACATTTGTATAATGATGCAGGGATACAAAAATCACCAGAAACAGACAGAATCTTATGACAACATACATAATACAAAATTTTTCATCAGAATCATCACTTACCTGTAGTGGCTACCTTGATCTCAGAATCTAGAAAGGTTTCTGAGAAGACAAGGGAGCCCAGGATTGAACCCGGCTTCTCTTTGCTTGGTATATCATACAATGTTATTGACGCACATTTTACCATGAGATTCCGGCTACCATCTGTCAAGCTGTTAGAACTAAATAATGAAATTTCAATTATTTTAAAGTTTATAATTTCATACATATCAAGGTATTCAGCTGTCTTTAAATGTTTGGAGGGTCTGTATCATTATGATATGTAAATATTCTCAATCTAAATAAATCTTCAGCATGAAGAATTCAATACAATAATCATGTGCTGTTATTTACTACAATGAACCGTCAAACTTGCATTTGGTATAACAACTATAATCAAACATAAAATGGTCATGATACTACATGGTACAAAAAATCTTATCTGCTTACACCAAGATAATCTCAGTTAATCTTGCACCATTCAACTTATACAATATTCCAGCTTAAAAGTTTAACAACAAGTTCTATGGCAAGAAAAATAAAACACAAAACAATTTTTTTTTCAAGTAAGCGAGTTTGTTGAAGCAAATAAAAGAAACAGTATTTATTTAGTTTTTTTTTTTTTTTAAATCAGTGAACTAAGCAAATCAGTCATAGATGCTCATTTTCCAATACATATTTAAAACTGGATTTCCAGCTAAATTTAGGGGCTCAAAACTGGATTTTTTATCGCAAAGAGACAAATATCAGGATTTTATAATCTGATATTGGGAATCAAGATTAGGGTATAAATATAAGTATTTTCTTAAATCCTGTTATGATATCACATATTTGCAAATGTTTTCAACCTACCATCCAGAATGGTCGACAGCTTGTAAGGAGAATTGTACTCTAGGACCAGTCTTGACATAATTTGTTACAATATCATCCTTAGCCCCTGTACAACTGTCATATAATGTTTCTGTAGCTATGTCTTCTGCCTGTAAATAAAAACATATAACACTGATCATTATAAAACTAAAATTATTATCTGAAATTAACATACAGTCGGCATCGTACATGCGTCCACCTTTATTAAGCGACTTTTTTATTAAGCGGCCGCATAAAATCCCTCCCGATGATTTTTACTACTGTCTATATAAGTTAATTCCATTAAACGAAGATTTTATATCGCGACCAGCGGCCACTAAATGTTGGCCCAAATGTACAAAATTTAGTGTTAAAGTATCTATTAAACGGCCGTGACTACCAGCATTCTCACCTGTGTAATCAGTGAGTAGAATTGATGTGTACAAGCAAACAAACAAATATTTTTCATGGTCATTGGTCTAAAAGTATCTATTAAACGACCGTCACAAATAATTGTCTTTTAAAAATGAATTGAATAACAATTGTAATCGTTTCAAAATTGGAAAGAAAGAAACAGTTTTCCGATCTTTATATTTATTGTGACATATTTTGTCAGAGCAATAACGTATCACAACGCCGCATTTGCACAGTTTTTTCATGTGCTCAGAGTGACCTCCCTTCCAGAAAATCAAATCGAAAATGATGTCAGAACGAGCAAAAAATGACAGACAACTAATAAGACCAGATATATTGAACAAGGAAATCGTGCATGGAATTGAGTCTGAGTAAATAGCAAATGTCATTGTTTGTAGTCGAAATAAAATCGTGAAACGTAGTGGACTAAACATTACAGAACCGAGCCTTTCATTGCTGATGGTGTAGGTGCTCATCTGATGCTTTATGAAATACATGTAGTACCCCATTAAATATGACCCTTCGACAAAAAAAGAAAAAAAATCCTAGATCTCTAAAAACCTTATTGAATTTGAAATCGGGGTAGTGTGAAAACTAATTGCTGAAAAAATCAAGAAGTTTAAAACTCATTGCATGAAAAATTATCTGGAGCTCTGGCTGATGATTTGAAAGTATGTTCAGCAGGAGATGTGTATGAACATATTAACAATATAAGACAATATGCTTTGTTTCATGGTCAAAATGACCTGTTGATAGTATTATGAGCGTAGATCACATTTGTACACAAATTTCTACTAAAAACAAAAACAAACACATATTGATGACTTTTTTTTAAAAAAGGCATAAATGTTATTATGAAACTGTAATACATACATAATATTGTACAGTTTTTTGTTTTTATAAAAAGATGTTATTATATCTATGACTTGTAATATAAAAAAGTCTCGAATTTTCCAGAATTCTATTGAGAGACCACTTTATTAAGAGACCACTTTTTGGCAGTCCCTTGAGTGGTCTCTTAATACAATGTCGACTGTATAAAATATCACCATAAAGAACTGTTCACTAATTAGGGGTGAAAATATGTAAGAGGTGAGATAGCTCAATTGGTATAGCCCAGGAACTGTATTATGCGGGGTCCAGGGTTCGAGATCCAGTCAGGCTGCACATTTTTCTAACATGCTTGTATTTAACCAATTGGGCTAGGTATCTGGACAACATTGTTTGTGTAGGCATTGTAACACTAAACATCATTAATCTTTGTTCTACATTTGCGTCTAATGATATTGGTTAAATTTGAAAATTTCTGACTGCCTTTTTTACATAAACTGTCAAAACAGCATTTATTTAATCATTTATTTTACCTGTTTAACACTCAATGAGTTACAGTAAGCTTGAATTCCAGTGAGTACAGCATCTATCATTGATCCGTACAGAAATGTCAACAGCCTAAAATACATATAATCTACAATAAATTTACAGTTTAGTTTAAACATATTCTTTTTAGATTGCTAAACAAGTTCTATCACTTTCAAGTCCGCTTCCTAAAACTAACCAGTACTGGTGTCATATGAGGAATCATAATTGTGACCCTAGTAGAGCTTGAACTCGTGATCCCTGAGTTGAGAGGCAGACACCTTAACCACTAGGCCACCACTCTCCTTTCATGTACCGTAAATGATATCACTAAAATATGGTTATATAGAATGTCAGTGCCCAGTAACACTAGAAAAACATTTAAGTAAAACATATATGACCATTTCAAGCTCATTTCTAAATGTTTTTACATAATTATTTTAGTCCTAAAATGTTGAATCAACTTTGTTCATAAACAGTTTAACGCCCAAATCATATCTCCCAAAAAGCAAATGACCTTATTTAATAGGAAGGATAAATAACATGCACAATACTGATCTGTATTTCAGAGTATAATCATGGTAATATTATATTACTGTGGAATTAAAGGTTCGAAGATCTTATCATAACAAAACCGTTCAATCTTGTTGCTTAAAAAGTGGTCATTTACATACAGAACATAACTATCCACTCTTCCCTCATGAATAGTAATGAATAGCTAAATGAGTATCTCCACTAACCTTAGATCTGCACTTGCTTCATAATCTTCTACTTTTGACTCTGAAATCATAAAAGAGGAAAATATAAAAGAGGAAAAGCTTGAAAATATACTCTAGCAGCAAGATGTAGCGGGGCTGAATCACGGCATAAGCAACACTGAATTTACCATGTTCCTGTGCAGACTGTCAAGCAGTTTACCTTCACTTTTTAGCAAGGACATGTAGCTTCTGTAAATGCAAGAGCAGAGGTTCAGTGCAAATGACCGTAGAAAGGACTTCATGATCAATCACAACAAAAGTGACCTGCAACATCCGGGAACCGAACCCAGGTCGCCCGATTCACAGTCCAACGCTCTACCTACAGAGCTAACCAAAAAGCTCACAGCAAGATGTAATGATATTTAAGCTTATTTGAATTATGCTGAACTTTTGTGATGGATTTACCCTGCTTTAAATTTGGAACAGTTCATTAAAAGTTAAAGGGATTTCATTATGAAATTTTATATAATGAGCTACCAAGGGTATAGAGTTAGCTCTGACTGTATGGATGTGCAGGCCTGCCTAGAACTATACTCATGGCAAATCCTGAGGTGCAAACAAATGTTTACCATTATTACTCTATAGTGCACTGCAGTAACCATTCACAATAGTGGAAATGTGATGCACTTGTCATGATGTATACAGTACAAAGTTGTACGAGGGTTATCCGAGCTCGGATAATCCGTAAACAAATGAGAGTTAGTTTGTAACTTTTGATTGAAAACAAGAATGTGTTTGTTAAACACAAATGCCCCCGGCTCAGATTCTTGTCAGTAGCAATATTTCAAAAAATGTTTACCCATTCACTCAGTTATGGACAGAAAAATTGCCAAAAAATTATAAACACAAGTTATATAGCTTGACAAAGTCATGGCATTTTGTAATTGTGAAAAATATAAGTTGCCAAGTCATTGCTCTGACTTGTGAAGTTGAAAAATATTCAACTTCATGCAAGTTATCTTCCTACCAAATATGAAATACATCTGTCATTAAATAAAGGCTGCATGTATGGGCAAAAGTGTAAAAATCTATTCTGAGCACTGGTGACCTTGACCAAACTGACCCCTAACTCTATCCAAAGAAAGAATACCATGTAAGTTATCTTCCTACCAAATATGAAATACATCAGTCAATAAATAACAGCTGTATGGGCAAAAGTGTAAAAATCTATTTTTAGCACTGGTGACCTTGACCCAAGGGCCAACTGACCCCTTACTCCATCCAAAGGAGGAATACCATGCAAGTTATCTTCCTACCAAATATGAAATACATCTGTCAATAAATAAAAGCTGTATGGGCAAAAGTGTAAAAATCTATTTTTAGCACAAGTGACCTTGACCCACTGATCCCTACCCCAATCAAAAGTATGAATACCATGCAAGTTATCTTCCTACCAAATATAAAATATATCTGTCACTTAATAAAGGCTGTATGAGCAAAAGTGTAAAAATCTATTTTAGCACTAGTGACCTTGACCCAACTGACCACCAACTCCATCAAATTTTATGTTTCTATCAATTATAAATAACATTTGTCTATAGAATAAGGTTAATACACTTGTAAAAATGTAAAAATCTATTTTTAACATTGGTGACCTTGACATTGGTAACATTGACCTTGACCCAAATGACCCCTTACTACACCCAAAGAAGGAGGACCTCCCTTGGCATCACTAAGACATCAACTAAAAAATAAAGGCTGTATGAGCAAAAATGTTTATATTTATTTTTTAAACCAGTGACCTTGACCTTGACCCTAGAGACCGCTTACTCCACAAAAAATTAGAGGACCATCAAAGATATCCACCTACTAAATATGAAAGATATCATTTAAGAAATTAAGCAATTAGGAGAAATTTAAGATAAATCCAACTTGCCGAAATAGGTTAACCAGACAATGCCCTATTTTCAAAGAGAAAAAAGGGAAATAACTGGGAAATATGGATGACACAGTTATATAACTTGGCAATATCATGTACTTTGTATTGATAAGTAAGTGCGGAAATTATAAAGCCATTAGTATAGATAGAACTTAAGATATTTCCAACTTGCCGTTTTAGGTTAACCATTATTCATTTTTTAAGTGCTGAAAAGGGCCATAACTTGGTGCAAATGGAAGCCATAGTTATGTAACTTGCTCAGATCATATACTTTGTATGGATTAGTAAGTGTGTAAATTATGAAGTCATTGGTACAGGTAGAACTTAAGAAAAATCCAACTTGCCGTTCTAGGTTAACCTCGTACGGACGGACAGACGTCCGTTCTAACAGGAGGGTAATTATGTGGCTACTCTATTGTTCTCTCTATTGTTCTTTTTAGCCACACAAAAGAAAATAGCCACATAAAAGCATTACGGAATGAATGACATCAAAGAGAAAGAACAGTTACCTATAGTCCCTCTAGCCACATAATTACTGTCCTGTGAGTGCTGATGAACAAACGGATGGTTCAATTACTATATGCCCGGGGGCATAAAAACATAAAGCCACAAAACTTGACATGTAATGTAATTAACTCTGCAGGTAAGCACACAAGTCATTTAAATAAGCATCGGAAGATAGGAGTCAACCATAAAATCCACAGGACATTATATTGAGGGACTATGAAGAGATTTTCTAACAATTGTAATTTTTAAAATAATAAGTAAAGTAGGTGAGGAACACACGTACAACACCAGGTCAAGTTTTAAAAGTTTTAATTGGCTACTAGTTTCGAGTAATACAATACTCTTCATCAGGCTTGTAATTTTTATGTAATAACGGTAAGTAACTCTCATTCATTTCTGGATGGCTCTTGTAACTGTAAAAGTTTGATAGTTCCTTGATATTAGATTGGAAACCCCTCATTTGCAGAGTTCTGAAGTATCTATAGTCAGGGTGTTAAAGGAGTCTGGACAGAAATAATAGATGCAAGCTAATGGATGAGAATAACCCTCATATCTATATATATTTTCGCAATGAATATATAAATATATGAATCAATTATTGTATAGATTTCTTCAAAAGTGACATCCTCACATTAAACAATTTGTATATATCTATTACCAAACTACTTAAATGTCTATCTACATTAGCCTAAGTAATTTTCTTAAAATTCTAATGCAAATACATTAACACCATACAAAATATATGAGCCGCGTCACGACAAAACCAACATAATGGGTTTTCAACCAGCATGGATCCAGACCAGCCTGCGTATCCGCTCAGTCTGATCAGGATCCATGCTGTTTGCTATCAGTTTCTCTACTTGAAATAGAGTTGGTAAGCGAACAGCATGGATCCTGATCAGACTGCGTGGATGCGCAGGCTGGTCTTGATCCATGCTGGTCGCAAACCCATTATGTTGGTTTTGTCGTGACACAGCTCAATTTAATCTCCAAGAAAATGAGAGCCTATTCCCTACTGATCATATACCACCATTAAAGATATGACTCCTGGACATTGTCATAACACAAGCTAAATGTAGCCTTGAGTATTACAGACATTTAGTTAATCAATACTATAACACTTTTAAGGTAATAAAGCATTTATCTGATTTCCAGGGAAAGAGAGTAAATATAAGTCTATAAATTATTATCATAAATTCTGCGGTAATCTTAACACTGACTGATTACAAATATCAATGATGTATGATATATTGGAAGTCTTACTTTTCTATGCTTCAGTTCAGTTTAGTTTATACAAATATTTTAGTTTGTGTTGGAAGCTCATAATAAGCTTATTGAAACACTTTTTAATCCATTCCTGGAACCAACCAGTACTAAGCAATGAGTGTAAAGTTTTTTGCTCAAGGAAACCAGGGCCTTGCCCTGACAGGGTTTAAACCCATGGGGCCAGCAATCTTAAGATTACTTGTCCAACAAGCGTTAACCATTAGGCCATGCCACCCAGTTCTTAGGTTTTCATGTTTCATGAATATATATAATTATGTGCATACAATTATGATGTGTAATGTTTATAAATGCCAACTGCATTGTTGTTGTTTTTTTTGTTGTGGTTTTTCCCTGACAATTTTTTGTCATCATTACTATGAAATATTTCTACTACCTCTATCAACTGCATAGTTTTATACATGTAGTTTTGACTGGGCAGTGAGCACAAGCTTCCGTAATTACTATTGGTTTTACATAAATTGTCATAATTTCTGGACATTTTACTAATTAGTACAAATTATTATTTTTTTCAAATCTGTGTCAATTATTGATCAACAGAAAAATAACTATGTTACTAAGGCTGCATGGATAAAGCTGACGACCATTTACCTGCATTTATTTAAAAAATCATATCTTTAGGAACTGTTTCCCTCAAAAGAATTAAGGCATGATAAAATACATTAAGTCTCAATGGCTCCTGTCAATTAGATAGTACATTATGGCATTAAAAGAAACTGTTTCTCCATTACTCACCATGAGCAAGAAGTGTTTATCATACTTTCTCTATGAGCGGTCGACCAGAACCATTCCTGGTCACCAGATGACCATCATCTGTATTGATTATCAATACAACAATGTTCAAATCATCTGGCCAGTTTATCAATTATAACCGATTTTATTTCTTTAAGTGTTACACTGAGTCACACAGAGCTGGTAATGTATGACTGGACACATTTCGATAACTGAAACATCCAGGAAATTTTCCTACATCATATGCTGGAGATATGATTAACTTCTACTGAAACAGCATCATAATTTTATCATTTTTTAAAATAATAAAGACTAACTTATATTGACAAAGTAAAAATTTCAAAATTTTACCATTTGCTGACACTGAAAAAGCTTAAGGATGGACTAAATTGATTTATAATGACAATTTTCATTTATTTAGCAGACAACCAAGGATGATTTTATTGCAAATTGTAGATTTTTTAGCAGCAAATAAAACTAAAGACTTGATAATACTAAAGAAAACTACGATTTATTTCATGTCTGTAAAATTGGCTGTTACTATAATTTCCAATTATTCTGATAATTATCCCTGCAAGCATAACGGAATCACTATTATGAAAGAAACCTCATAAATATTGTTGCAAAATGTGCTGGGAAAAACGGACCGACTGTGTTCAATTTTCCAAATCAGCTTCTGGGAAAGAGTTGGGCAGACCGTAGAGTGCCAGACAATTACTGCTTTAACAGAATTACTCCAAATGTCAGAGCTATAACTGTGTAATATTTTCCGGTATTAATTAACTCCTCAAAATTGCATAACAAAATGAAAATTGGTTCATATTTACTGAGAGTTAATTCTGTAAAGTGATCTATTATTAAGCTTTCATAGCCAGTAATTTTTTACTTCCAAGGATAGCAATTATACTCTGTTTACCATAATTAGTGGTCGGTAATTTGAGGGTATCTGAAGAGAACATTACCCACTTAAAATGGACAAGAAGTAATCTATATGCATTAGGTCTGCATTACTATACATGACATTATTCTAACAAATGAGATTTTGTAAATAGTACTACATTATACAATAACTTTAAACAAGCCAGATTGAAATGGAACAGAAATCAAAATACATGTATGTTATGCCAGTAGGTGACTTTATGATTTCTTGTGTCTTCTGCAACACATGATATTGTACATTCCTGTATTGCTTTTTAATTTCAACATTGTGCATACCAATGCATTAAATCTCGGTTTAGTTTAGTATTGTCATTATCAGTGCATGCAAACAAAGTTGGTTTTTCTTTGTCATAATAAACAATAATCTTGAAAGTTAATCTGCTATCAGTTATCAAGGTAATGAAAGCCGTAATTTCTATAACATTCAATGTCAACAAATAGCAGAAATGATGAAGAAGAACACTTCTAACACCAGGTTTAACTTTAACAGATATAACCCCCTACATGCTAAATATTCTAAACTGGCTCGTCATTTCATGTTGGAATAAAAAAAAACATTCATCATTTTTTTTCGATAAAATTTCAAAATGAGTACTGACTGACTGAACAGCAAACAAAGCAGACCATGATCATCTTGGTCTGTCTGGCATGGGTAGATTCATCTGCTTCCAGTAGTATGAGGGTTAGTCAACATACCAGTGTTGGTGATATTATCACTTTCAAGATACATTAAAGTACTAAGTCAAAGCTAAAATAAATACAGTCTATGAAAATTCGTATCATGGAATAAGAAAATAAATATAATTAAATTTTAAAATCTAAAAAAGATATGAAACATAAATCAACATCTGAGACATGAGTATATAATTATATACATTGAGCCTGGACTGCATAAAATCTTAAAATGGCTTATTCACTATTTAGACCAATTGACTATTAATTAAGACTATTTTTAGTCAATCCTGTCAGTGGTCTTAATAGAGAGAATTTTCAGTAAAGAAATTCAAAGACAAAATAGTTAGCTCAATGTCAAGTATATAACAATTAATCACTTATGGTAATTTACAAAACATACGATCCAAATTAACCTCAATTTCTGCAATTATGTTCTCATACTATAAAATCATATTCAAATTTTCACTTAAAAACATGCAATTCACATAATGCTATTGCTTTGAAGAGGCAGTCTCTAGATGGCAAAATATTTCACAGAAGATCTCACATGGATTGAATTGTTTATACCAAAATACCAAGCCATGGAAAACGATTTTTTAAACCCATTAGTTTATGATGGTATTTATGTAAAATACACCTACTCCCATGGGTATGACAGGAACTATAGGGGGAGCTAGTGTTCTAGAGCATTACTAATGTCACAAAAAGCTTTCTAATGTCATAAACACCCAGTCAATCTCCCAGGGGGATCAATCTTTCCATCATTATACCGCACAGCTCACAGTCTAATGTAATACTGAGGCTAATCATATCTCCTTTCAGTTATATCAAAAATATGAAATGAGCACCATCACATTTTGTGCTATATAAACTACAGCTTCTGTCATTCTATATCAAGTCATTGCTAATCTCCCAAAACAAATAATTTATAATATTGTTTAATGTAAATGTCTCTAGTTCTGACATAAACTAAGTGGATAACTGAGCTTTATACACCCATTTCAGTGTCTTATTTCCTTAAACAAATTGTATGACATTCCCTATAGTAACATATATCCATGTTCAAAGACAAATATCACTACATTATTTAAAGCATACATTACTCTGTCAAAACAATTTCTGTGAAAACTAGAAATGTGTCCATAGGACACGGATGCCCCCACACGCCACTGTTCTGTCAATCTTATGACTCTTAAGGTCAAATATTTTTTGGACTACATGTGCCACAAGTTGAAAACTAAAAATCAACAAAGGGCCATAATTCTGTTAAATTTGGTCGCAGCAGAAATTCCTTCCTTAACTACCATCTACACATTAAGGTTGTTAATCCCTGGAAGTTTAAGCAAAATCTGCCATCCGGTTTAAGAGGAGTTGCGTTCACAAAATTTCTACATAGTATATAATGAAAAAATCAACAAAGGGCCATGATTCAGTTAAATTTGGTTGCAGCAAAAATTCCTTCCTTTACTACCATCTACACATTAAGGTTGTTCATCCCTGGAAGTTTAAGCAAAATCTGCTATCCGGTTTAAGAGGAGTTGCGTTCACAAAATTTCTACATAGTATATAGTGAAAAAATCAACAAAGGGCCATAATTCTGTAAAATTTGGTCGCAGCAAAAATTCCTTCCTTTACTACCATCTACACCTTAAGGTTGTTCATCCCTGGAAGTTTAAGCAAAATCTGCCATCCCGTTTAAGAGGAGCTGCGTTCACAAAATTTCTACATAGTATATAGTGAAAAATCAACAAAGGGCCATAATTCTGTTAAATTTGGTCGCAGTAAAAATTCCTTCCTTTACTACCATCTACACATTAAGGTTGTTCATCCCTGGAAGTTTAAGCAAAATCTGCCATCCGGTTTAAGAGGAGTTGCATTCACAAAATTTCTACATAGTATATAGTGAAAAAATCAACAAAGGGCCATAATTCTGTAAAATTTGGTCGCAGCGAAAATTCCTTCCTTTACTACCATCTGCACCTTAAGGTTGTTCATCCCTGTAAGTTTAAGCAAAATCTGCCATCCGGTTCAAGAGGAGTTGCGTTCACAAAATTTCTACATAGTATATAGTGAAAAAATCAACAAAGGGCCATAATTCTGTTAAATTTGGTCTCAGCAAAAATTCCTTCCTTTACTACCATCTACACATTAAGGTTGTTTATCCCTGTAAGTTTAAGCAAAATCTGCCATCCGGTTTAAGAGGAGATGCGTTCACAAAATTTCTACATAGTATCTAGTGAAAAAATCAACAAAGGACCATAATTCTGTTAAATTTGGTCGCAGCAAAAATTCCTTCCTTTACTTCCATCTACACATTAAGGTTGTTCATCCCTGGAAGTTTAAGCAAAATCTGCCATCCGGTTTAAGAGGAGTTGCGTTCACAAGATTTCGGGACGTACGGACGGACGGACTGACGGACGGACGGACAAGTGCAACGCTATATGCTCCCACATTGTGGAGGCATAAAAATCAAACCTAAAGCTTAATGATTGTTTCCATGCCAAAAAATATGAAGGAAATATTTAAAAAATGGGTCAAAGACAGAAAAGGCCGGGTTGCATTTGTATATCAAATATCATGAGGCTGTGATGTTACAAAAAATGTTTACCATTGACCATTAATGTTGAAAATTTAACTAAGTCGATAAACAGGAAGTGGATCAGCGACAGACCTGAAATCGAATTGATAACGATAGCCGGAGACGAACAACGGATCGATTTTTGGGGGGTTATCTCAAACTATTTATTACTCTATTAAATAATTACACAGTAAGTCCTATAACCTTCTTACGACTGGTAGGGTAAGTACAAATATATACAATTTTTGGAAGAACATTCCTTTTGTGTCTCCATACACTTGAAATTGATCTGTAACGTTTAATTTCAGCAATAGCGTGTTCAACACATACACGGTATTTTACTATTATTCTGTTAAGTTTTAGGCACTTTCTCCGTTGACGCTCTTGTTTTCGGCGTATTTGAGCTGACGTGTATGGTGTCATAATATAGTCATTATTCGGATAGATTTTATCTGCAAGTAAAACGCACTCTTCCGGAAATGGTAAAGCCGTGCCGATCTGAGGTAACATATGGTACTGCTGGGCATCGTTTTGGTGACCAAGAAACCCACTTTGAATATATCTTATGGTACCATGACAATCTACTATTATTTGTGAATGAATTGCATGGTACTGACGATGTCCCGAATAAAACTGTTCCTGTGGTTCATTCATAGGCCTATTAATTTCATGAGAAGTTCCATCAATAGCTCCTACGGCTATTGGAATTCTATTCCAAGTTCCGCTCATAGATAACCACTCACGGTCCAGTGGCCAAACGACGAATGTTTTTAGTCGTAAATAGAAAATTGGGATAAGCAACCTTATTTCCATTGTCACACTTGGCACTGATATGTTGAACAATGATGACAGCATCATAAATGTCGGGTATGTTCGAAACCACATAAGCACAAGAAGAACTCTGTTTCTTGCAGAAAGTTTATGAGGCCTGTATGATGAAATACGAAGAGTATGTAACAAATCTAAAAATGTCTCAGGAGTTTCCCCGGTCACTTGGAAGAACTGGTATCGATGGGAAGAGATTAAAGAAAACACATTTCTGCCACAATAAAGGTCTTCAACGATTCCAAAAAGTCTATGCCTTATATTAAGTATCGGGTTAGGCGGCGGTCGAATGAGTTCTAAAATCATGCAAATGAGTCCGAAATAATTGGTGATGTCTGGGGGAGACTTAACCAAAGCTGGTAAAATGTAACTTATTGTTCTGATTGAGTCAATGTCCATTGTTCCCTAGAATAAGAGAAAAACCTCCCTTCAATATATTTTTACATTTATTTTCATTTGAAATAATTGAAATATTAGTGTGAAACAAGTATAAATGTTCATCATAAATTATTATTATCTTTTTGTACTGTTATATTGTACAATTTATCAGTCATATATAGCAAAAATTCCAGCACGGAATTCACGTGGGTTATGTTACACAAATGTTTGTCGATAATATATATATCAAAAGTAAAATGGAAGGTGGAAGTAATGTTGGTAAGTACTGCCTTTTATTGTATTTAATTTATTTAACATTTCTTTATATTTTAAATAATTTATATAAAAACACATACCTATATTATTTATGGTACTTCGTTGTAAATCGTTAGTGTTGAAATTACAAAGAGAATTCAACGGATGGTTACATGTATAAATTCACGCCTGAAATAATTTAAGGCCATATACTAGTATATTATATGTTTTCTAGTTTCTTTGCTGCGTGTGTGTGACTGCTTTCCTTTTTATTTTTGTTCATTTTGTTCAGAGAGAGAAATCATTTATTGTGATTCATCAAATAGTGTTATTTATTCTAATAATTTAAAAGAAAAAAAAATGATTTTTTTCTCTAGGCACACTTCTTCAAAGACGTAGAAAGCCCGTAAAAATTGGCAAGGAGGAAACTCTTTTGATTTTGAGGGCTTATTGTTCACATCCTACAAATTGGTCTGATGTCCTAGATGAAGTGCGACAGAATCTTGATCAATTACCCGAAGATGCAAGAGCTCTTTACCATAGTGGCAATCTTAGACAGCTCAGAGATAGAATGTCGGGAAAACTGTCCAAAATAACGAAGATGAGAGTGGAAAGCATTCAAGATTCAGACATACGGTACGATTTTTGAATAAGCTAACCCCCCCCCCCCACCCGTAAATAATAAAAAAATCAACAACAACATTAAAGCTGTAATTTTCAAAATTTAATTCATATTTTGCTTCTTATAGCGTTTTACACTTCTACTTTAAATCAGTAAGTTACTGTTATCTAACATGCGATTTAAACATCTTTAAATATAATATTTTCTCGTTTCGGTTATCTTTTAGAGGCGTAGCAATGCAGATAGATGCTATGGAGCGCCGTCTTCAGAATACAGGGGTTGACACGAGACAAAACGAGGCCAGTCAAATAGAAAGCCAGACAAACCAGGAAAATCAGCCAGGAACATCAGCTGATTTGAGGGAAAGCATTGCAAATGCACTTTCATCGTCGCAAGAAGAAGATCCTACGCCGCCAAGCACACAGAGACGGAGAAGAAGAAAGAGGCCGCTGGCCGACATTATTCGTGAAAATCAGTTGTTATACAACGACTTTATAAAGAACAAAGTCTCAAGATTGCTCCGTCAGCTTGGTGTCGAGACATCTTCGGATGACTCAAACTAGTTTTTCAAAAAGTACTTGTGAACGCTTTTTTGTAAAAGAAATAAATACAATCATTAAATTTTGCTTGGCCTTCTGTTTTCTTTAAAAAAATCATTTTGAAACGCCCCCTTAGAAATAGCCGTCTCCGTCTTCGTTTGTCGGCATCGGCTCAAGCTAAAAATCTCTGATAAGAAGTTGCTGAGAAAACTGTTACGAAAATTTCCTACCATTGACCATTAATGTTGAAAATTTAACTAAGTCGATAAACAGGAAGTGGATGAGCGACAGACCTGAAATCGAATCCCACGGTATGGGACCATGTGTTGATGCTGTATGCCAAATATCAAGAGGCTGTGATAAGTAGTTGCTGAGAAAACTGTTACGAAAATTTCCTACCATTGACCATTAATGTTGAAAATTTAACTAAGTCGATAAACAGGAAGTGGATGAGCGACAGACCTGAAATCGAATCCCACGGTATGGGACCATGTGTTGATGCTGTATGCCAAATATCAAGAGGCTGTGATAAGTAGTTGCTGAGAAAACTGTTACGAAAATTTCCTACCATTGACCATTAATGTTGAAAATTTAACTAAGTCGATAAACAGGAAGTGGATGAGCGACAGACCTGAAATCAAATCCCACGGTATGGGACCATGTGTTGATGCTGTATGCCAAATATCAAGAGGCTGTGATAAGTAGTTGCTGAGAAAACTGTTACGAAAGTTTTTCCCCGCCCGCGCCGCCCACCCGCCGCCCGACATTCACCATACTATAACCCGGGTTTGCACCAGTGCAACCCGGCCAATAATGTAGAGATGTTTGTCTTGAAGTGACATTCATTGATGGCATCGCCTTAAAGTGCCATAGCTGCCACATTTGACCACCAGAGAGGAAACCAGTATGGCAACAAGCTTAAACAGACAATTACAAGGGCAAGTTTACCATATAATGAAGGTTCCTTACAACACATGTCCATTAACCCTTTCCCACATGAGCATATTGTGAAAAATGGCCGTTTTCAGTGAAAAGCCTCCTGTTACAAGTTCAAACTGCTATGAAACTATGAAAAATGCTTCAATACTAATCAAACTTGGCACAAATGTTGACTGGACCATTGCCTTTGTAAGGACATGCTCAGTCTTAAATTTCCTGTTACCATGGCAACGAGGGGACATCTCAAAATTGCCAAAATCGATTTTTTCCATCAAAATTTATTTCAAAGTGCTGCAACTTCTTAAGGGATTGAGATAGAGTCAAAGGCTTTTCAGCGTTGGTTACACGTTACCTTAAATCTACAAATTAAAGATTTTATTTTTAACTTGATGTCAAAGTCTCTTATCTGGGGGTTGAACCACAGCAGTGAAATCTTCAATTCATGTATTGCACTTTAGAAAAACTTCAAGTACGAAGTTCAATAAGCAAAGAATATGCACTTTTATACATCATCATTATTTAATAATTTCTATAATTAAATAATACTATTAAAGTGAAGAAGAATAATTACGGTCTATGTTGATTTTTGTTCAATTTTTTCGATATTAGAGACTACAATTTACCTATTCAAGTCTTACATAGTTTAATAATGAAATAGAAGAAAAAACATCTATATAACTACAAAATGTATAATAGTACAAAGGATGGTCAAAATGTCAGTCAAGATATTGGAAAGCATAAAGCAAAGATAATTGTATAAAATGTCACTTATATTGTTCCTAAGAGGTCAAATCTACATAAAAACAGTCCAACCATATGTTATTTATTTAGAAATGACTGTACCCAAGGCAACAATTACTAATTCTTTTGAGGCATCTTAAGAAGCTTTCAGGTACATTTGTTCTTCAAATTACTTTCATACAAAAGTTCTGTTTTCTTGAAACATTCAACATGCAAGAACAACTAAGATACAAGGTCAAATCAGTGTTATCTTTTCCTATTAGTTTAGTATATTTAAAGCATACACAATATATTTATGATAGGTTGATAATGGAATTGATATTAATCACTTCTCCTAAATTTGTTGCTATATGTATTCAGTATTTGTGTTGGTTTATACAGAATTTATTTTAGCTCGATTGTGTAGGAAGCTATAAACTTATAGACACACTTTCAAATTCGTTCCTGGAACCAACCAGTACTGAGCAATGAGTGTAAAGTTTCTTGCTCAAGGAACAAGGGCTGGACCCATGTGGCTAGCTATCATTAGATAACTAGTACGACACGTTAACCACTAGGCCATGCCGCCACTCAATTGTTTTATATAAGTATGAATTTGTGTTATATGAGCTGTGGCACACTTAGGGTATTTGCTTGGCCTAACAGCCACCAGACCACAGTCACCTTTTAAATAGACACTTGTCCAACAAAAAGAAAACAATTTTTTTTCCTTAATAGAAAACAGCTGTGAGCATGAGCAAACCAAGATATTGCTAACCACATTTAAGAAGTCTTCAAGCTAGCAGTTTATTGAATTAACTGTTATTGAGATATTCCTAAGGGTATGTCCTCATCTTGTAATTGTCGAACCATGTGTTGGGTCTATGAAAAATATTTACCAAGACAATGTTCAAAAATATTATTATTATCAGATAGGCGACAGATGGCAGTTTACTTCATACAATTTAAGTATCTAAAACTGGGATGTTATAAATATTAACAAATGCCCTAAAGATGTAAATTACCAATTTTCTTGACTATAGGAAAATCATTGTCATCCTAAGCACTTAATTTACCTTAAAAACTATGAACATTTAAAAGACAATTATCATTCAGGCCCCTGGGGGTTGACGTAAGTCTTTCTTTATTTCAAATTAAGTTATTACAGTTTTGAAGTCAACCCATGCCCTGAATATCTTACATTTGTTACAAGTATAGAGACTGATAAGAAAAGTAGTCTACACACCTTTGCAGTCTGACCAGACTCTTTGAATGCACTATTATAGTCTGCTCTTGAACATAATTATATCTGTCTTTTTCTAATTATCAGATAAGTCGATTGCAATACCAATTTCACCACAACACATTTGTTTAAACAACACAGCACATGTCAATGTTTGGGGTTAAATCTATTGTTATTCAAATAAAAGGTCAGAGCAGGGATCTAATGAATGAAAAGTCAATGAAGAAGAATTATCATCAATCCTTATTCTTTACATGTTTGCAGAAAAAAAGAAATCTTTTTGGCTAATTAAGGCAAGCAAAAGGTGACTAATAACCGTCTTTTTTAAATGCAATCTTTCAACAAAAGACCTTATTCTTTTCACTTCCAAAGAAATTGACCTTTATTACTTATATCATGATAGCTTGATGAACTGTAGGTTAATAAATACAACATATAGTAAAAAGTCTGGTTTTTCAAACACACACCTACCAACAGGCTTTTCTTTCATATGATAAAACTGAATATCCTGAATTTCCCCTGTCCCTATTTTCCATATAATCTTCCAAGAATAAGTTCTGAACACTTACTCTAAAAGCAAATTATTTGTTACAACTTCATTTAGAGAATAAAGTTATCATCTATCTAATAAAGTAATCTAATTTGTCCTGTAAATAGAGTTACAGTAATTGAACCAGTTCACACAACACAATAAATGTTCCAGTACATTTTTTCTAATATTGTGAGTCTAGACCAACAAATTTATTTTTGAAGACAACTCTACTGACAAAACTGATCCAAATCAACAAGTTGACAATTGATCAAATACCTAACACTTTTAACAATGAATTTATCCTGTGACAATGTTTTACTTAAAAAGACCAACAGTACAAAGACAGATAGGCCTGGCTGTATTATCCGGCATTAATTTGTCGAGGCAACCAGTACAAAGACAGATAGGTCTGCTTGCCTATTCAGCATTAATTTGTTCAAATGACAAGTACAAAGACAGATAGGTCTGCTTGCCCGTTCAGCATTAACTTGTTCACATGACAAGTACAAAGACAGATAGGTCTGCTTGCCCATTTAGCATTAACTTGTTCACATGACAAGTACAAAGACAGATAGGTAGGCTTGCCCATTCAGCATTAACTTGTTCACATGACAAGTACAAAGACAGATAGGTCTGCTTGCCCATTCAGCATTAACTTGTTCACATGACAAGTACAAAGACAGATAGGTCTGCTTGCCCATTCAGCATTAATTTGTTCACATGACAAGTACAAAGACAGATAGGTAGGCTTGCCCATTCAGCATTAACTTGTTCACATGACAAGTACAAAGACAGATAGGTCTGCTTGCCCATTTAGCATTAACTTGTTCACATGACAAGTACAAAGACAGATAGGTCTGCTTGCCCATTCAGCATTAACTTGTTCACATGACAAGTGCAAAGACAGATAGGTAGGCTTGCCTTGATTTGCATTAAAAAACATATAATTATAGGCCTTGTTCCTTCTTTTTCTCAAATTTATTTCATCATGCCCAAAAACCTCAGTGGAGTCCCTTTAATTATGCAGGTCTACCCTAAGTTAATGCTTTTTGTCTTAAATTGACCTGTCCAGCTTCCATTTTTGGTGTAGTCCATTATGAATTTTTGAGATATGAAGATGAAAATGCAAAGTTGGTCAGCCAGCACTATAGAACCTGGCACAGATGAACAGGCTGGTTTGGATCTATACTGGTGGCAAAGGTCAATCACTTTAGATTTGAGCAAGGTGTTGGTTGAAAATAACGGAAGTCTTGAGTGTGTGTAATGTATTTTAGTTCATGATCTTTCTATCATTTATTTTTCAAGACAGAATTTTTTTCTGAGAGAAAATATGAAATAATTGCTATAATTATATTAGGCCATCTGCGTTCTGTTCAATAAATGGAAGGAATACTGTCATCTAGATCAGACACTGTCTACAAGGGTTCAATGAAAAAAGCCTTGACTAAGACATGTATTTTGGTATAATTTATTGATTGATAACAGTAAGCAGTCTCTCACTAGAATTACAATATCAAAACATATTAAGTACTGTACTTAATCACTTTTGCTGCAACTTTTTTACTTAATACTTTTGGACAAATTTTCCCGTTTTATCATCGTTTGAAATAACAAAAAAAAAAGGAATGTATAATAAAGATTTTAAAATTTGTTTGCATTTCTCAGTCATTTATGTCACGTGGCAACTTTCTAGCTTTAACAGCAAAAAGGAAAACAACATGACTGTGACCCTCTTT